TTTTCAAGTGTAAGTTTCTTGGTTCAATGAGTGTTTTTTTTATTAGTTTATCTAATTATGTGTTTGTTAGTGAACCGTATTAACTTATTTTCATTACTATTATGCTGTTTTTTTTAAAAAATACATTTTAATTTTTGACCCCACAATACAAAAAGTCTAAGTCTTCCCATGACTGTACTGAGAATTTATCTATAATAAAGCTTCGTTTTATTTTATGTATTTATTTAATTGTTTCTTAAATGTGTGTTACAATATTTTCCTCCTCTTTTTTTCCAAATGTATCGATTCCTTTAATATGTGAAAATCTATTGTATTTTTGCAAACACAACTGCACATAATTCTCACAAACTGAATTAAAGTATTTTGCATTTTATTGCATATATTAGAATTTTTCGTGCCATCATTATTGAAAATAGAGCTGTAATCTTAGATAAAGCTTGTAGCAGAATAAGTGAACTCATTTAATTCCAATTATCATTTAATACCACAATGATACCATCTAAATTGGGGTTGCAACCCCAATAGATAATAGGCTAAATGAAAGATGCAATACCACTTGCGCACTTATCATTTAATACCACTTAAATTGGGTCCCCATTGGAGTTACATAGCATTATTCTAATAAATGTGTATCTGCAAGATTTTTTATTTCCTCGAAATTCGATGTTGATGAATGTATTTATTTGGACATTAATTTTAGTGTCAAAAAATACATTTTTTAGCACAAAATGCTTTTTCTTTCTTAATTATTATTATTATTATTTTCAATTTGAGAAAATATGGATACATCATTTTACCTTTTTAATAATTCCTAATTTTTTGAATTGTCAAATTTCCGTTTCCAACGAAACCAAAAAAAATTGAATTGTTTTCATGCTATCGTCATTGTTACACCTCTAGTACGAGTCTCCGATCAAACCAAGGCTTGCATTCCACGTCATTTGCCATGTCCCACCTCATAGTCGAGGCTCCAATGTGCCGAGACAAATGTCATACACGTACGCAGGCAACTGAGCTGCCGATTCAGGTGAGCACAAGCGACAGCGAAGTGACACGATTGGGGGAAGCACCTACTAGTAAGAGTCACAACACCTCAACAGAGACGACTAGGAGATCCTTTGTATAGAAATATTTCTATGATAAAATCTCTTGAATGATTGATAAGACGTTTAAGTCGAATTTATTTTGTCAGGAAGCATTAAATACCCGTCCACCTATAAAATGACTAATTGACGACTAGGAAGGTACACTTCGATCGGCAGCTGAAACCACATGCCTCACATCTAATGGTCATTTCTTCACATCTTCCTCTATAAGTACTCATGTTTTGTGTTTATGTAAAGGTAATGCAATTCCAATCATATATCTTACATTATTTTCTCCCCATATGATATCCTATTCTGATGGTTTCCACTACCGGAATTCCCAATTTTCGTTTATGTTTTTATTGACTTGATCGTCGGAATGTTCATCGACACTTTCATCATCGTCGAGAAGGTCACAAGTGACTAACGTTGTGTTACAAGTGCACAGGGGAAGAGCATATGTAGAGTCACTTTATGTGGGCCACGTGTCGATCCATTTACCAAGGTCATCAATCGCCTTGTAAAAAGTTCTTTATAGAATCCTTTTTTTTAATAGTCGAGAATAAACTTATAGGGTATTCCAATAATATAAGATCCATGATTTGAAAAATGATGACATAAAGCACACTATATGCTAAGTACAAGAAAATTACAAAACTTAGGAGCTTCCTTTTTACGAACCATTGATTTCGATAGAAAGTGTACTCGTAGGGTTCAAATTGCACCAAGCACATTCTTCCCTCAACTGGTCAAAAAACTTTTTCAACTGAACATTTTTTTAAAGTTTAGAGACGACAACTTTTTTTCTCAACCAATATTCTCCAAACAATACATTGTCCAAGTAGCAATTTTGTGCACACAATTGTTTGATAACCTACTAATAACCGTCTCAGAAAAATAATAATAGTGATTTTCGACAAGTCAAAACTGCACCAATTCTGCCACAATTTTTAGAAAAAATACACACATGCTTTCAGGCTCACTCTTGGCAAAGTTTTGACCATTTGCTATGTGTTCTTAGTCCTATAATTTGTTGTCGAATTCTTCCAATGTGTATCTCGTCATGTTTGAAGATTTCTATTATTATATCGAGTCAAAAATGTTTAAAAAATTGCAAGAAGATAGATCAAGAAACTCAAGCATATATGCAATTACATTGTTAGGTAGAATTTTTTTGCTAAAAAAAAGTCCCTTTATTTTGGTAAAATAACAAATTCTATAATTCAATCTCAATGAAAAATCAAAGAAAATAGGGCTTAATTGGGATAAAAAATTCAAAACGAAAAAGTCCATTTTTTAAAATTTAATTCGTTCTTGATTTCAAACGAAAAACCTAGAGAAAATGAAAGTAAAAACATATGGATCCTTGTCAAATAAAAAATTTATCGTATTTTTTTTAAATTTTTATTTTACACGTAATAAAGCATTAGAAGTTTATAGAGTTGTAAATCTGACATGTTGATTATGGATAACATTTCCAAAATATTCATAATTTCGTTCTCTCTAAAGGGGTGTATAAAACGAACAAAATTTTTTTGACACTAACATAAAATTATTAAAAATAAAAAAAAAGTTTACTCGAATGTCATTTGCGTCAATTTCATACGAATTAAATTTGGGCCCATGACAAGATAATGTCTTGGAACAGAGCTATTTCCATAAGGGCACGTGTAATCACGTCAACGGGGAAACTTAACCGCTGGCACCCAACTTATAGTTTTGTTTAATGTTAGTCATCCAATTTCAATTGTTTTCAAAAAAAAAATTTTTTTAATAGTCGAGAATAAACTTATAGGGTATTCCAATAATATAAGATCCATGATTTGAAAAATGATGACATAAAGCACACTATATGCTAAGTACAAGAAAATTACAAAACTTAGGAGCTTCCTTTTTACGAACCATCGATTTCGATAGAAAGTGCACTCGTAGGGTTCAAATTGCACCAAGCATATTCTTCCCTCAACTGGTCAAAAAACTTTTTCAACTGAACATTTTTTTAAAGTTTAGAGAGGACAACTTTTTTTTCTCAACCAATATTCTCCAAACAATACATTGTCCAAGTAGCAATTTTATGCACACAATTGTTTGATAACCTACTAATAACCGTCTCAGAAAAATAATAATAGTGATTTTCCACAAGTCAAAACTGCACCAATTCTGCCACAATTTTTAGAAAAAATACACACACATGCTTTCAGGCTCACTCTTGGCAAAGGTTTGACCATTTGCTATGTGTTCTTAGTCCTATTCTATGTCCATATAATTTGTTGTCGAATTCTTCCAATGTGTATCTCGTCATGTTTGAAGATTTCTATTATTATATCGAGTCAAACATGTTTAAAAAATTGCAAGAAGATAGATCAAGAAACTCAAGCATATATGCAATTACATTGTTAGGTAGAATTTTTTTGCTAAAAAAAAGTCCCTTTATTTTGGTTAAGTAACAAATTCTATAATTCGATCTCAATGAAAAAACAAAGAAAATAGGGCTCAATTGGGATAAAAAATTCAAAACGAAAAAGTCCATTTTTTAAAATTTAATTTCAATTAATATACTTCGTTCTTGATTTCAATTGAAAAACCTAGAGAAAATGAAAGTAAAAACATATAGATCCTTGTCAAATAAAAAAGCATTAGACGTTTATTGAGTTGTAAATCTGACATGTCGATTATGGATAACATTTCCAAAATATTCATAATTTCGTTCTCTCTAAAGGGGTGTATAAAACGAACAAATTTTTTTTACACTAACATAAAATTATTAAAAATAAAAAAAAAAGTTAAACAGTGGGAAGAATACATAAATAAGGTGTTTACTTTTACACCTTTCAAAAATGCCAAAACATGTTTTAAATTTCAAAAATCAGGTTTATTTAAAATTTTAATTATGAAATAATAATTATTAAATTAATTTATAATTAATATTTAATTCAACTATAAAATAATTAACCCACCCCCACCTCCACCACCCCTATAACTCCGGGACTATTCCGACGACCGTTCCGGTCACCACTCTTTTCCGGCGACCGTTCCGACGACTTTTCCGATTCCGGCGAATATGTTAAGGTCACAGATCTATACGATTTGGTCACAATTTAAAATTTTTTAGGTCACAATTCAAAATTTTCGTAGGTCACAATTCGTTCATCGGTCACAACTTAAAAATTTAAAAGTCACAATTTATTAATCGGTCACAAATCACAAAATTTATAAGTCACAATACTTATTTAGGTCACAATTCATAATTTATTGGTCACAACTTAAAAATTTAAAAGTCACAATTTTTTCATAGGTCACAAATCACAGAATTTCAAAGTCACAATATTTATTTAAGGTCACAAACATCACATTAATTATAATTAGGTCACAATTTATCAATTTTTGGGTCACAAATTAATAATTTGTAAGCCACAAAGCACTTATTGGTCGCAATTCATCTAATTGATTGGTCACATGTTGTTTACTGGTCACAAACTAACCAAATTGCTGGTCACAAACAACCAAATAATTTGTGACCACCACCGAAATCAGTTGTGACCACTTCGCCACTGCATCCGCCAACGGCACCACCGTCGCCGCACCATAACCACTACCGTCGCCGCCCCTGCCACAAAAACCGCCACCACCTCACAGCAACCAATACCAACACCCACACAAAAACACCACTGCCGCCACACAAAAACCCTACCACCACCGTCGCATCCAACCAAACAAAACCACCACCACCGCTGTCGAATTTGTGCACAAAAACCACAACGGATCTGTGCACAAAAAAATAAAACCATCAGCGTCGCGACACAGATCCAACCACCACACCCATCCAATAAAAATCAAACTCGAACTATAAGTGGCGGCGTGCTGGTGACTGGTGAGGATGAGAAAGAGAATGGGAGATCTGTGAGAGAATGGGTGCTGCAAAATGGATTTGAGATAAAAACCATAAATATCGCTGCTGCAAAATGTAGCAGCACCGTCGCGACTGCCGCGACTGGGCAGCGTCGATCCAGTCGCTGCTGCGAGACTGGGCAGCGTCGATCCGTGACTAGGCAGCGTCAACGCTGCCGCTGCTGTGAGGCGTCGCGAACGGCGAACTCGCCGAGAGTAGAGGAGAAGGGGCGGTTGGTAGAAAAGAGGGAGGAGAGGAGATGGCGACGGCGGGTTCACAGAGAAGAGGGAGGAATGGGTGAAAGACGGTGGAGGCGGCGAGGGATGGCGGTTGCGGTGACGCCGTGTGTGGAGAGACGATGGTGGCGGCGTGAGGAGGAGAAGAACAGGGAGATGACGGTGAAGAAAATGAAATTGGGAAATTAGGTTTGATTAGGTTTAATAAAGTAAAATAAAATAAAATATTAATATAATTAATATTTAATAAAATAAAATAAAACCTGTTTTTTGAAATGTTAAAGTAGTGACCTGATTTGTGAAATTGACATCTTAAAAACCAGCCTGGGTGTAATTTCCTCTTAAACAAATTACTCGAATGTCATTTGCGTCAATTTCATACGAATTAAATTTGTGCCCTTGACAAGATAATGTCTTGGAACAGAGCTATTTCCATAAGGGCACGTGTAATCACGTCAACGGGGAAACTTAACCGCTGGCACCCAACTTATAGTTTTGTTTAATGTTAGTCATCCAATTTCAATTGTTTTCAAAAAAAAATCCACAAAATTATATTTTTTCACGTTCACCATTCTGTCTATAAAATTAACGACTCTAAGTCTAGGTTGACTCTTATTCTTGAAGCAATTCAAGTTAAAGAACTTGCAAGTGCACAAGTTCTATCACGCACATACCGAAGCCTATAACCATGTCGATTCTCAAATATGAGATTGGGCTTCTCCTGAAAAATTTGATGAAATGACTAGTCCAAAGAAAGAAAGTTATATTAGATAGTGCCTTTGGTTTGTACAAATCGAGAACATAACATACATAGCGCTTATAAGAGATGTCAAGACAAAGTTCATAGATTTCAAATTCGAAAAATCGAGTTCACTTAGGGTCCATTAATTGACAATGTGAAAAGATTTTTCAATTCCATATAAGTTGGAAAATAAAAATTCAAGTACCTCATAAGAATGCATTTTTCATGAATTTGACAAAAAAAAAAGTTTCAAGTGGTTGTACCTTGGTATTTGAACTTCACTTTCGCTTTCGTATCAAACAGTCAAATTAGAAATTAAATTCCTTGAATGTGACATTTTTTATGAAATTTAAATCAATCAAACAAATCCTTACATCAAAATGATTAACAATTTATAAAAATATTGAATTGGAACTCGTCAATCGATATGTACAAGCTACCTACCTATTGAGTGGCTTCCAATAAAACTTTCCCTCATCAAACATTATCCTTAGCACCTAAGCAAAATGTGAACGCTTCAACTTCCACGGTATCTTCTTAGATAAATACGACCTTCTAGATTCATATCACAATTCAACTCCCCCACTCTCTCACTCGTTATAGTCCGCGTCTTCTTCTTCAAACCGCGTTTATGCCGTCATCGCTCTCCCATTTTCTCACCTTAATTTTTAATTCAAACTTCCATTTTTCTGCCTTTCCTTTTCTCTTGCACAGTACTACCTTTGCCAAATCTACACGCCATCCCGTTTTCCACTTCCTAGAAATTTCCTACTTTTCTACCTTTTATATACCCACTCCAGGACCCTTTCCTACCCATATTATCGTTTCAGTATTAACACATAATTAATTCCTGTATTCAGAGCTGAAGAGGAAATGGAGAATGGAAATCAGTCGTCTTTCTGGCAATTTAGTGATGATCTTCGGCTTGAAGGAAGCAATTTGGCGAGTCTTTCTTTGAATGACTCAATTTGGAGCACCAACTATTCGACCAAACGCCCCACTGAGCAGAGGCGGAATTTCGACATAAGGGTTGGTGCCAGCGAGGTTAATAACTCTTTTAATTCAATCAACCCAGTTGATAATTCCAAGTCTGATTTCAATAGCTTCAATTTTGGGTTCAGCAATGATGGTGGGAAAGCTGGGTTGTATGGTAATAATAATTCTGGGTATGGTTCTGTTGGTTTGGACAGTGATATCAATTCTTTCAATTCAATCAACTCATCCTTCAACAACCCTGTTGATGATTCCAAGTCAGATTTCAATGGCTTCAATTTTGGGTTCAGCAACGATAAATGGAAGGCTGGGCTAAACAGTAATAATGCTAATTCCGGGTACGGATCCGTCGGGTTGAACGGTGGCTTCAACAAAGGAATCTACTCGACCCCTTCTCTGAATTTTAACAGTTACAGTAAGGGTAAGAATCTAAACAATGTTCTGGCGAACGGTAAGATAAATAAAAGTGGTAAAAATGAAGATGAACATTGCTATGGTGCGAATAAAAGTGGAAAGAAGAATAAGAATAATAAGGAGAGCAATAACAACAATAATGGTGAAAACAAGAGCGCTTCTGATAAGAGGTTCAAGACTTTGCCACCCTCAGAATCTCTGCCTAGAAATGAAACAGTTGGCGGGTATATCTTTGTGTGCAACAATGATACGATGCAAGAGAATCTCAGGAGACAGCTCTTTGGTATGTCATAATTTATTTATTACTTTCTCTTTGATTCTCTTGCTATGTTTTATTCCTCTTTGCTATTTAATATGTTGGTTTAGACAGTGTTAAGGTTGTTAAAATGGTTAAATTCTTTGTCGATAACTGTCCGATAATGAATATGATCACGCCCACAATATGTTTGATTCATGTGTCTATTGAAGGATTATATTGGAGTATGGTGTTCTTAATTAAATTATCTGATATGCAAAAGACTAGTTTAGACTAAAATTTTTTTTCCCCTCTCTGAGTATCAAATTATTAAAGGGTTGTGCTAAGTGTATTTACATACTGACACTTGGACATTACGAACACCAGTGTGTAAACCCTATAGAATAATTCATTATTAAAACAGTTAAATGATAAAAAGCTGTGATCTTTTCATCATTCTTGGAGTCTTGGACGTTTTATTGATGTTTGTAGTGAATTTTTTTTAGTTTTTATTTTTAATTTTGAAGGATGAGAGAGTTCTTTGGTATAATTGCATTTTATTTTTTTTAACAGAAAATGGTTTCAATAATATGATGTGTGGGTTGGTTGTATTAATTGTTCTGTTGTTTTGTTGTTAGTTAAGAACATTTGTTTCATGATGATTAAATGAAACAAAGTGTACAACATCGCTAGCAAATTTAAGCAATCTATTACTTTGTATTGTGTAAATTATCTACTGGATTTGTAATTATGAATTCTGAGAAAAAGGTTGTTCAAAAGACTGTTGATAGTTCTGAATTAATCAAGAAGAGAAGCATATTTATCCGAAGTCAATTTGAACTAGCATCTATTAATTCTATCAAATATTGGATCTATCATGTTGACTGCATCTTTGTCTGTGCTTGACATGTTTTACAATGTTCCTTCCTTTTTTCAGGCTTGCCTCCCCGTTATCGAGATTCAGTCCGAGCAATTACTCCAGGATTACCTCTCTTTCTCTACAACTATTCGACCCACCAACTTCATGGAGTTTTTGAGGTTTGTACTAAAATATGTTTTGGAGGTTGAATGGTTGTTACTTAGCTCACTTAAAATTGTACATCCTCGCTAATCGTATATGTTAATCTTTCAGGCTGCAAGTTTTGGTGGCACGAATATTGACCCAACAGCTTGGGAAGACAAAAAAAACCCTGGTGAATCGCGCTTCCCTGCTCAGGTGTGTACCTAGTCATTATTCATAGTATAAACTTTGTGCGCGGATTGTTGGAATGTTTGGAGCCTAATCATACTATATACTTATTATCTCATCAACCATGAATTTTTTGGTTGTACTTGGGTTAGGGGTTTATTTGGCATTCAAACAAATACGTTTCCCTAGTCCCTACTATATACAAAGCCGTGCTTATTTAGAAATTGTTTATTGTCATCTTTATTGACACTAAAGTAATTCTGCAAAATGAATTGAGTTGAATGCAACTTTATATTAGCTGTAAATGAGGATAAATGTTTGCCCTTCCATTGTTTTAAATGATCTTTGTTTTCTGGAATGGTTTTTAGATTTACATGTATCTTGTGCAGGTACGTGTGATTACAAGAAAAATCTGTGAGCCTCTGGAAGAAGACTCTTTCAGGCCAATTCTTCACCACTATGATGGTCCTAAGTTCCGCCTCGAGTTAAATGTCCCTGAGGTATTAGTCTCTCCTTTTGTCAAAATCAGTTCCTTCAACAAAGCTAAATCTCATGGAATCATATTGAATATTGTTATACGCCTATCTGAAAAACTGATCTTTGTTTATTCCTAGCCTAATCGGGTATGTTTGTTACACACTAACAATTTTTGTACATGATAACAAACAAGATTTGAACTTAAATTGTATTGTTGACTCCCGAGTTTAACATAACAAACATGCCATTAACGTTGTATCCTTCTTTGGTTATTGTAGGCGATCTCGCTCTTGGATATTTTTGTAGAAGACAAACCTTTGAGCGTTTGAGGAATCAGAGCACAGTATACTACACACATTATACAACACAATGAACTATGAAGAACACAGAGAGAGAGAGAATCTCAGTTGTACTTTTGAAGCACATTGAAGTTATACAAGAATAGGCAATGATCATCTGTAAATATGAATCGATGGAATGTGAAAGACTTCTATTAGGAGTTCAATACTTCCTTTTTTGTAAGCTGAAGAATTATTATTTATAAATAATCAAAAAGCTGAGTTTAGCTTATATTGTGTTGGCATGTTGCAAATTCGAGTTAAGATTTTTTCAAGTGATGTTGATGTTGGAAGTTGGCATGGCCAGATAACAAGCCCTTCCTTTTCAAAATTATTATTGAGAATATTATTTTGTACCTTATTCAATATTTGACCACACGGCTGTATTTTGTCCTTTATTCATTGTTGTTGTTTTTTTCTGAATATTCTGAAAAATGGTTAATATGAATTTCGTATATCAATCGTTATTTGATATTCGACAGAACTTGGTCAAAGAGCTCGAGTTCATTGCAGAAGAGCCATAACTTCAATTTTTTGTTTTAAAAATGAGCTGATTGGAGGAATATTCCAAAGTGTTCAAATATGGCTCGAAAATATAGGTAGTGGAATAATTTTTTAAAAGATTGTGTAAATTTTATTTGTGCTAACTATAATTTGTTAATTAAATAATTGTACTTTGATTTTGATTAATCAGATAATTACATATGATTTTAATTGAATAACTATGTCCGATTGAAATTAAATTAAAGTATAATTACCTAATTAAATAAAATTAAAGTATAGTTACTTAATTCATAAAGGAAGTGATAGCGAGAAAAAAATATTCATATACTTCGTCTAGAAATATTAATGTACATTTGTATGCGGCTTCGTTAGCCTGTCATCAAACAATGTTATTTATTACTCATATCTAGCAAAACTGAAGAGTTAGAAATTAGGGATTAAATACGTTCGCCTGAGAAAACCAACACGACTTTAGTTTTGTCCCATTTTTGGTGCTTAAATTTGTGTTTTAACAACGATTTATACTGACTCAACGTTATAAATAAGAAATGTTGGTACAATATTTTTGACTGAATATTATCTTATAAACTTAAATGTTTATTAGCAGTAAGAGAATAGGTTCGTTACTCACAACTCACAGTAACCATTAACCTAAGACGTGATTAATCAAAAAAAAATCGTCTATTATTCCCATGTTTATGTTTGAAAATTAGCCGTTGAACCGTCTAGATGCACACCCCCCTAGTTTGATAATGTTGACTTCATATTTTATTTTATTCTAGGGATCACCTTAATTGATTTCATCCCATAAATTTTGCGCTCAAATTTCAAAAAGCAACGCAAAAATTGTCTCTTCCGCCACGTTCTCGTCTTCTTTTCCCCAACCAAATCCGTGACCTCGTTGAATTTTACTAAGGATTGTTGCGTCAATCGATTAATCACCTTGTCTTCAAAATTTAATAAAAGTTAGGAGGATATTCTTTAATTTTTAATTTTAAGTCTCCAACTTTTAAAATTAAGATTTCAATATAAATCAATGAATACGTCACAAAAACCATCAATGTATAAATTAAAATCACACACGACTTTCACGGATATCAAGTGGGTTATTTCCTCTATTTTTAAGTCAATTGAAGTATTGACATTTTTCATCATGTAGAAACATAATCTCATCTACTTAAATACGTTGGGATTCAAACCCTCACTTTTAAAGATTGTGAAGTCCACGTCACACTAATAGAACGGTGGTTAAAGAACCTAGCACTATGTCAAGGAAGGGATTCATATATTTATTTAAATTTCATCTTCTAAGATTAATGATCACGTCTCTTCCTACGAAACTAGATAAAAAAAAATTATCGAATGACATTTATGAATGGAAAACGGAAAATTATGAACTTAGGGATTTTGTCACATTTTGATGATATATGTTTAATCGTCTCATCTAAAGTCGCGTACATATATTTATTATTTTTATTTAAATGTATTTTTCCCCATCCAAATCCGTGACCCCGCCGAAATTGATTCAATATTTTCTTCCATAAATACAACCGCAGCTCTGCTGATTAACAAAGAAATAAAGTAGCAACCAAAAAAAAAGGGAAATTGCAATGGGGAATTGCTCTCTCAAAGCTGTTTCTGATGCTGAAAATCAGGTGGATTTTATCCGGATCATGACAGATTCCGGCGATATATTAGAATTAAAAGGCCCTAAATTAGTCCGGGAAGTTCTCGAAAACTTTCCTGGATACAAAATTTTTAGGCAAAATCAAATTTCTTCTCCATTGTTTGATCATCAGCAGCTTGTCGACGGTCAATTCTACTATCTCTTACCAATCAGAGATGAAAAAATGAATCCGTCCAACGGGCGTGTTGAAGATTTTGAGGCTGTTACCAGATTGGGAAATCGAAGAAAGGGTGTTTGGAGGGTGAAATTGGTGATCAATTCGGACAAATTAGAGGATATTTTATCAGAGGAAGTGAACACCGAAGCCTTCATTGAGCATATGAGGATTGCTGCAGCAACTCCCGGAAGAACCAAAAAGATGCCTGGCCGGTGGTGTTGAAAAACCCGGGCAGGGCTGGACGACCTATTGTACTCCATGTTTACAAGTAACTCTCATCTTAATGTAAAAATAAGTCATTAATTATAAGTGAATTATTTCAGCTTAACCGATAATTCTCATGATGAATATTGTTAACACTACACTGAACACTCGATTCACTTGACTAACCAAATCAAGCTGTGTTTAATAGCTAGAGCGGGAATTGATTTGAGTTATTGGATTGCATGCTTTCATATCATATCCAATCTCATAATTTATAGAGCGACCATCAAGGGAAGAATGGCAATTACTCTGAATGATATTATAGCTCATTTGAATTTTGATAAGACATCACAAGTATTTGCAATACAAAGATATCTCGCATTTCTTTCAATTCACGCAAACTATCTTTCAATCGATTGCATGTTACGAGACAATTGTACATATAGTAGACAATCATTTTTTTTTTTATCAGTAAATAAATTGAATTGATGAAAAATCGAGTATAACTACTCCGAGCATACTTGGACTTGCAAAACAAGCATTACAAAGGATCAAAAGATCCCTAGCAAGAGATTCAAAGTGAAACAAAACATTACAACCTCGGTTGATTAAAGTCATGAAAGCAGGATCCCTTCTTCCTATTTTTCTTGGGTTAAATCCACTAATAATCATTCAACTTTATACTTAGTACCACAATGGCCACCCAACTTTAGATTTAGTGTCACACTGACAACTCAATTTGATTTTATTTTGTCATGGTCATCCAATTTTATATAACATTTTATCATAGTCACTCAACTTCTTTTCATCATTTTCACTAATTTTAAAATGAGTAACTTGGTAAATTTGCATTATATATAAAAAAAATAAAAGTTTCTTTTTAAATTTTAAAAACGATTTTTTTAAAAAAATAAGTTTTTATTTTATTTTATTTTATTTTTTTAAGTAAGATTTTTTTAACTAAAATTAAATTTGGTGGCCATGCTGACACTAAATATAAAGTTGGGTGGGGATGATGAAACAAAAAATATGAAGTCGGATGATCATTGATGGATTTAACCCTAATTTTCTTCATTGTTATGGGAGGTTGCTCTACCATTTTTCCTTTTAAGTTTCTTACTCAATTCATCATCCCAACCTTGGCGCTTCAATTTCTACAACCCCAGTGTTGTTGCACCATATGTTCCCCGTGTGCAGATTCAAGTAGTTGTTCCTAGCGGCCTAGACGAGCAGTACATGTTCTTTACTACCTGCAGTTGTTGACTGCTGCGTCTAGTTTACTGGAGATTTCTTTGCTACCTGTAGCATCTAGTTTGTTGGATGCTTCTTTGCTGTCGCAGCAGCTTGCTCCAAACTGTTCTGTCCGATCATATTTTTAAAGTGAAGGTGGTATAGCATTACATCGTAAGTGTCAAAAGGTTCAACCGAATGCTAATACATCCAATGATAGATTTTTTTTTTTTTTTTTTTTCTTACACAGTATTGTCTAGTTATGTTGAGTGAGTACTTGAAAAGTTATAATTGTGGATTGCATGGATATTGAAAATTGTGTTGCAATGAGTTCAACACATACTTCCACTTCAGCTCACTGCTCACATTCAGCTTTCTCTGTTGAAGCATATACAACCTCACATCACGCTACCAGAGGGATTTTCTAGACAGGCAGAACAAAAGATTATGATTATGATTATGATTATGCTGAAATGAGGGCAAGCAATGCATAAGTAATTGGTAAACAATACAGACAGAAAAACTATTGTCACGTGTATGGTCAAATAAAAAATTCAAGAATTATACCTACCCAGATGCCTTCTCAAAAGCGGCACCATTTCCAAGACTGACATACCCTTCCCTGTCCCCAGATTGTAGTCCACAAATTTCATTGAAATCGAGCCATAGTGGAAAACCGCTATTAGATACAAAGTAAGCAGAGTAGATAAATTAACTCAAGGAAACAAACCTAGACGGCGGAAAGGATTCAGGAGCTGAGTAATTAATAAACCTACATGGTTTTAACAAGTAAAAATATATCACAGCTGTTTCCATTGTGATGTTCGAAATGCACAACAATAGGGTGAAATGAATAAGTATTTAAGGTCCAAAATAGAAGCTTAGAGCAAAACCAAATGCAAAGCTATAAGAATATTTGGAGAAAGGGTTAATGTATCAGACGAAAACCCTTCATGTACTTATCCAAAACAACTTTTTCTCGAGCCTAAAATTCATGATTAAATACGAGCTATCCAACGAGCCTAATGTCGATATGTAAAAACTTGTTCGATCAAACTCTAATTATATGACCCTAAATAAAATGGAAATTAAAAAAAATAACTGTTTCATTTTAGTCCTCAGTTAAAATATAAAAACAAATAAATCTTTTTATTCTAAGATTTCAGGGCGTTACAATCTCTCATCCAAAAAAAAATTTCATCCACGAAATTACGTGCACTCAGGTCCTCCGTTGCCCCATCATGAGTTAAGCAAAAACTCTAACCCTCCCTTTTTTTTTTCTTGCTGATTACTTTTCTTCAAAGGGATTTCCTGGCAATCTTTAGCAATATGACCTATCTTACCGCATCAGCAATCTTTAGCAATATGACCTATCTTATCGCGTCGATAGCATATATTACTCCCAAATAGACTTTCACCCCTATGTGTTTGTTGCACTTGGACACGGCGAAACGACTCGTCCAAAACTTGATCTGAAGTTGACTTTCTTGTTTTTGTCCTTCTCCTTTTTCTTCGTTAGACACATTTCATTTCCGCTTTCCTGTAAGCTCGGTCCCTTGCTGAGAAGTTTTGTCAACCTGTAACCTATTTGAGATTGCCTGAGCAGTTGTAAAACCCGACTTTAGGTGGTGAATTGGTGGGATGCCATTATCCCACCAATCTCGGGACGCAAACCCAGTTAGAATCTCCTCGTTTTCTTTGCTTCCGCGTCCACTAGGTGTGGTGCATACCTAGAAAGTTGTTCGAACTTTCTCTCATAATTCTCAAGCTTCATCTTTACCTATTTCAATTGAAGAAATTTTGTCTCATTTCGGTCTCTCAGAGCTTGTGGGATGTATTTTCCCATCACTTCGTCCTTGAATTGTGTCCACGTCAGAGCATGTTGTTGAGCTTCTGTTCTAGTGTGCAATGCGGACTCTCAACAGTGGCCTGCAGCATCAACCAAAATGAATTCTGCACATAATACCTTTTGAGCACCAATACAAGAGAGATGTTTGAAAATTTGCTCTATTTCTCTTATCCATTCCTCAGCTGTCAAGGGATTTGCCTTGCCATCGAAGGTTAGGGGTTTGTAGCAGCGAAATAGTTCCACAATTGAACTGATGTTGTTAGCATTTGCATTCTGGGAGACCAACCCGTGTTTGTTATCTACCCAAATTGTGTACAGCTCTCAACAAATCCCTGATGACGCATGAATTAATTATAAAAATGGTAAAAACTTTAAGATTTTCGAATCCTTACATATAGTATCTGGTTTTCTAAAAAAAAAAAATCCAATAGATAAACAAATGAACTTTGGCTAAAGGAGTAAATAAAACTATCTCTAATCTCTATGAGTCCTAGAAATCTTCTTTTAGTGGAGTCTCATCATCCGAAGTAATGCATGACTCGGGCCCAGAATCTGTAACCAAATCGATGATAGGGTCTTCCGGCTCCACTTCCTCTTCTGGGTCTTCTTCAGGGTCCTCCTCAGGGTTTTCTTCAGGGTCTTCCTCCGGGTAAACTTTATACTTAGTACCACAATGGTCACCCAACTTTAGATTTAGTGTCACAATGACAACTCAATTTGATTTTATTTTGTCATGGTCATCCAATTTTATATAACATTTCACCATAGTCACTCAACTTCTTTTCATCATTTTCACTAATTTTAAAATGAGTAACTTGGTAAATTTGCATTATATATAAAAAAAAAATAAAAGTTTCTTTTTAAATTTTAAAAACAAATTTTTTTAAAAAATAAGTTTTTTACTTTATTTTATTTTATTTTTTAAGTAATATTTTTTTAAAATAAAATTAAATTTGGTGGCCATGCTGACACTAAACATAAAGTTGGGTGGGGATGATGATCATGGATGGATTTAACCCTAATTTTTTTCACTTTATGGGAGGTTGCTCTACCATTTTTCCTTTTGAGTTTCTTACTCAATTCATCATCCAACCTTGGCGCTTCAATTTCTACAACCCCAGTTTGCAAGTCAGGTCTATGTTGTTGCACCATATCTTCCCCGTGTGCAAAATCAGGTAGTTGTTCCTAGCGGCCTGAACGAGCAATACGTGTTCTTTACTACCTGCAGTTGCTGACTGCTGCTTCTAGTTTACTAGAGATTTCTTTGCTGCCTGTAGCATCTAGTTTGTTGGATGCTTCTTTCCTGTCGCAGCAGCTTGCTCCAAACTGTTCTGTCCGATCATATTTTTAAAATGAAGGTGGAATAGCATTACATCGTAAGTGTCAAAAGGTTCAACCGAATGCTAATACATCCAATGATAGATTTTTTTTTCTTATACAGTATTGTCTAGTTATGTTGAGTGAGTACTTAAAAAAGTTATAATTGTGGATTGCATGGATATTGAAAATTGTGTTGCAATGAGTTCAACACATACTTCCACTTCAGCTCACATTCAGCTTTCTCTGTTGAAGCATATACAACCTCACATCACGAGGTTGTCAACCAGCCAGTACCAGAGGGATTTTCTAGAGAGGCAGAACAAAAGATTATGATTATGATTATGCTGAAATGAGGGCAAGCAATGCATAAGTAATTGGTAAACAGTACAGACGGAAAAACTATTGTCACGTGTATGGTCAAATAAAAAATTCAAGAATTATACCTTCCCAGATGCCTTCTCAAAAGCAGCACCATTTCCAAGACTGACATACCCTTCCCAGTCCCCAGATTGTAGTCCACAAATTTCATTGAACGAGCCATAGTGGAAAACCGCTATTAGATACAAAGCAAGCAGAGTAGATAAATTAACTCGAGGAAGCAAACCTAGACGGCGGAAAGGATTCACAAGCCGAGTAATTAATAAACCTACATGGTTTTAATAAGTAAAAATATATCACAGCTGTTTCCATTGTGATGTTCGAAATGCACAACAATAGGGTGAAATGAATAAGTATTTAAAGGCCAAAATAGAAACTTAGAGCAAAACCAAATGCAAAGCTATAAGAATATTTGGAGAAAGGGTTAATGTATCAGACGAAAACCCTTCATGTACTTATCCAAAACAATTTTTTCTCGAGCCTAAAATGCATGATTAAATACGAGATATCCAACGAGCCTAATGTCGATATGTAAAAACTCGTTCGATCAAACTCTAATTATATGACCCTAAATAAAATGGAAATTTTAAAAAAAAGTAACTGTTTCATTTTAGTCCTCAGTTAAAATATAAAAACAAATAAATCTTTTTATTCTAAGATTTCAGAGCGTTACAATCTCCCATCCCGAAAAAAATTTCGTCCTCGAAATTACGTGCACTCGGGTCCTCCGTTGCCCCATCATGAGTTAAGTGAAAACTCTAACCTTCCCTTTTTTTTCTTGCTCATTACTTTTCTTCAAAGGGATTTCCTAGCAATCTTTAGCAATATGACCTATCTTATCGCATCGATAGCATATATTACTCCCAAATAGACATTCACCCCTATGTGTTTGTTGCACTTGGACAGGGCGAAACGACTCGTCCAAAACTTGATCCGAAGTTGACTTTCTTGTTTTGCCCTTCTCCTTTTTCTTCGTTAGACACATTCTATTTCCGCTTTCCTGTAAGCTCGATCCCTTGCTGAGAAGTTTTGTCAATCTGTAACCTATTTGAGATTGCCTGAGCAGTTGTAAAACCTGACTATAGGTTGTGAATTGGTGGAATGCCATTATCCCACCAATCTCGCACACCCAGTTCAAATCTCTTCGCTTTCTTTGCTTCCGAGTACACTAGGTGTGATGCATAACTAGAAAGTTGTTCGAACTTTCTCTCATAATCCTCAAACTTCATCTTTACCTATTTCAGTTGAAGAAATTTTGTCTCATTTCGGTCTTTCAGAGCTTGTGGGAAGTATTTTCCCATCACTTCGTCCTTGAATTGTGTCCACGTCAGAGCATGTTATTGAGCTTCTGTTCTAGTGTGCGATGCGGACTCTCAACAGTGGCCTGCAGTATCAACCAACATGAATTCTGCACATAATACCTTTTGAGCACCAGTACAAGAGAGATGTTTGAAAATTCGCTCTATTTCTCTTATCCATTCCTCAGCTGCCAAGGAGTCTGCGTTGTCATCGAAGGTTGGGAGTTTGTAACAGCGAAATAGTTCCACAATTGAACTAATGATGTTAGCATTTGCATTCTGGGGGACCAGCCCGCATTTGTTATCTACCCAAATCTTGTACAGCTCTCAACAAATCCCTGATGATCGTTGCTTGGTTTTGTTGTTGTCTCGATATTTTCTTAACACAAATAAAGTTTTAATTTAGGAAAATTTGATAACGTAGGAATTAATTATAAAAATGGTAAAAACTTTAAGATTTTCGAATCGTTACATATAGTATCTGGTTTTCTTAAAAAAAAAAATCCAATAAATGAACAAATAAACTTGGGCTAAAGGAGTAAATAAAATTATCTCTAATCTCTATGAGTCCTAGAAATCTTCTTTTAGTGGAGTCTCATCATCCAAAGTAATGCATGACTCGAGCTCGGAATCTGTAACCAAATCGATGGAAGGGTCATTCGTCTCTGGAGATTCCAATTATCTGAGCGTACAGTTACGAAATGAAGTTGTATTACTCATTTTTCTTTTTTATTTTGGGTTGTATTGAATTATATTTTCATATTATATCATTCTTATGCTTTAGTGTATTTATATATTAATCGAACAATTTTTAATATTATTTAATTGAAAATTAATAATCAATATTGTCATTCATGTCGTTGCGGTCAATAGTCAAAGATAGTCGGCCGCCCATGCTGGACTTCAGGGTTGGATTTGCCCCGGCAGAGATTACAACTAAATTGAAACAAGTTTAGCATTGGATTTTGAATGTGCAAAATTACTTAACAAACCTTACACACGCCTTCCTCANATTTGGGAATTTAGAAATTTGTGATTTGAAATAAATTGGTGTTGAAATTTTGAAATTGAAAATACAAGTGGCAAGTAGAAGTGTTGAAATGACATTCTCTATTATGAATCTAATCAAGAGTAACTTGCGCAACAAAATAGGGAATGACTGGTTGAAAGACAATTTGGTAGTGTACATTGAGCAAGAAGTTTTTAAAAAAATTGATAATGAGACAATCTTGCAGCACTGTCAAAATATGTGATCACGGAGATTCCAATTATTTGAGCGTACAGTTACGAAATGAAGTTGTATTACTCTTTTTTCTTTTTTATTTTGGGTTGTATTGAATTATATTTTCACATTATATCATTCCTACGCTTTAGTGTATTTATATATTAATCGAACAATTTTTAATATTATTTAATTGAAAATTAATAATCAGTATCGTCATTCATGTCATTGCGGTCAACAGTCAATGATCGTCGGCTGCCCGTGCTGGACTTCAGGGTTGGATTCGCCCCTGGCAGAGATTACAACTAAATTGAAACAAGTTTAGCATTGGATTTTGAATGTGGAAATTACTCAACTAACCTTACACACGCCTTCCTCAATTTCCCAACCAAAAACACAAAAAATCTCCAGCAACAATTCTCGGTGTCATGCCCAAGTATCAAAAAACGATTATGTCCATATAGAAAAGGTATTCAAGAAAAGGTTTATCAACTCATGTAGTGCTCACGATATAAGACAGGTAAAGAAGAAGTCAACATTCTCGGAGTCCATACACACAGAAGGATCAGATAGCTTGCCCAGAGAAGCAATATGGCCATCTGCGAAATCCACAACATGGATATATAATCCATATTGGTGCATCAAGAACCAGCAAGCTAACTGCATATTTGTGTCCAATATTTTTGGCCTCTGTCTTTCCAAAAGGAGTTCAAGATGATGGTAGACTCAAAAGTTTATACACAATCTATCCTGAAACGTGGTTGGCTTTTATAAAGTAACCAGATAACAATAGCTTACTTTCCATTATGTTATCCTTTATTTTTTCTTCTTCTGGCCAATATAGAGAATGATGGAGGCAAGTGGAAGCTATTAGCAAAACTATAGTTACAGTGAACCTAAAGATTGAAAATAGTAGCACACTGGCGTAGACACAAATAGGATATACTCAAGTTCATTTTTACTTAATGAACAACAATTGGCTACAATGGAATGCCAATATCATGACTAAACATAAACAACTACAATGGTCACCATCCAATGCTGACCAAAATGGCTTACCCCTCTACGCCTGAAGTTGCATTGTCAGATCCAAAAACTGTTAGTGCAGGTGCCAACAGCTACTTCTTGCACAAATGGCATGAGATTATTTTGAATTCCAAGTGGATCGTCATAAGTATAGCCAATAGGATGTGCAACAACTGGATTAAAATACCTCAGCAATATGATAATCCATTCAGTGTTGGAGCTACAGATATCACGGCACATTTCTTCCATGAAAAGCTGGAAAATCAATATTGTTAGATGAACTCTAGTAGGAGAAATTTGATAGCAATTCAGACAATGGGAACCAAGAGAGTAAAAAAGAGAGAGAAAATGAAAGAGGAACATACACACAGAGACAGAGAGGTCATAAAGAAAACATAAAAATGCAGGTTCACCCCCTAGTGTGAGAGTTACGTTCACTTGCCGCTATAGATTATTCACTACAATGAAGAAGGAGCATTACAAGGAATGCCTCACACTTCTCTGTTTTTATTCATACATTAAAAGGCAGCCTCTCAAATTCCTATTTATAACATTGGAAACTAGAGCGACTTAATATAAACATATGAAGGCTCAATAAACGCCTATAACTAGGTCAGCCTGGGGTCGAGGGGATAAGTAATCAGTACAATTAAGCTCTTCCAATGGGCTCTTTGTGTTCCCATTTCTTAGTTTCAAGAGATGGAATACTGAAAATTTTGCTCCGTTTTCTTATTAATTTACATACCATCTATCTCTTCAGGTTAGCTGCATTATGATATGCATTCATGTAAAAATGACTGTAAGAATACCTTTGTTCGTCCATAGGGATTCAAAGCATATATAGGAAATTCCACTGTGCATGGCAAACTTTTGGCAACAGTTGATGATGATGAAAATACAAGCTGCAAAGTTCACAATAACTGAAATCAATGAGGACCAGAAAAGGAAACTAAAAGAAAAACGTTATGAGAGACAGCAGACAAGAAAGATCAGTACTTCTTTACATACATGTGCAGCCATAACTTCTAGAAGAACAATTGTTCCAACGAGGTTATTATTGTAATACAGCAGAGGTTTCTGGACACTTTCTCCAACGGCTTTTAAACTGGCAAAATGAATAACAGCATCAAACCTGTGTTGAATGTGAAATTGGCAGCAAAGACGACGTCGGAGTGGTGCAAGTAAGGACTGATATAGACAAAACTCATTCTCCAATATTATTAAAAACCCTGTGCATAGAAAAAGCATTCTTTCCCATCCTAGTACTGACGACGTTTTATCTCCTAGAAACCAAAGTTCAATTCAAGTGTAACTCTGGAGGGTCTAATTGAGAAAACAGTGGCTTTTAATAAATTTCCAAGTTTCAAATTGGAAATACTCAAAAGACACTAGAGAACAAAAAATGTCCCAAAGTAAACCAAAATAAAAAATATATGCACGTGCACCCAAACTTTAATCTAGGATAAACACTGATGAAAACTCATTTGTCATATTACAGGAAGGGACTGAATCTTCAAAGACAAGGGAAAACTTTAGAATTTAATCATTGTCTTGCCTTCAATTGCTACTGATCATTAGCCATATTTGAAAACCTTTTTGACTAGAACCTCAAGAAAAAACTAAAGAGAATTAGTTTTATGTTACCATCCCTTCTCAATACTATCCACAGTTCTATAGAACCCACTTTACATGTCAAGCCAAGAATCTTTCTCACTCAAGTCTTCAGACTAGTTCTTGAGGTTTAAAATGAACAATCCACAGCACCACAGTCTTACTTTGAGAAGCAAAAAGCTTTTCAAGCACAGGATTATCAAGAAGATCCATCTGCAATCAAACCCATATTCATCAAACTCAACAATCATCAGAATCAACACACTTCTACAATGATCTAAAAAAGGGCAGAACTATGAACATTCATGAAATAGAATATAGATAAAAGCAAATCAAGCAGTACAAGATCCCCCAATTTCCCACGTTTTTTACACACTCTTCACCGAACCAAGAGAGTACATTTCTTAAAAATCATACCTTTGCACTGGAAAAACAATTCCAACAGATCAATCAGCAAAATTAGGAAACGAAAGAGATAAACAAATTAACGGATACAGATTAAACGCCTTTCAAGCCTAAAATCCTCAATCCCACAATTCACTCCTCATTTAAACCAGTAAAAATCAAATTTTACACCAGAACACAATTTTAAAACCAAAAAAAAAAAAAAACTGGTGAAAGGCGAGGTTGGCGCCATATTCACCGGCGAGTAGGTACAAATGAAATTGTCCTGGACCCGCATCAATTATCTTCTTCTTCTTCATCAGGCTGCACAGATTCCTCAAATTCAGAATCCATAATCACCCCATCCATCACATGCACTAATATATTACCTAATTTCAAATCTACATATTCTGATACGACACCATTAACCACTAGCTTCCCACCCATCTCCTTCAGTAAATACAAATTAAATCCCGATATTGAATCATAAATAATCTCCTTGCCAAGCTGCAAATCGGCCGAATAAATCATTCTCGGTACAGCTGAAAATCCGAGTATTCGACTCAGTATCGCGTGCGTATCGTTTGCTTTCCCTCCAGCCAAACTCTCCGTTGGATTCAATCTCAAATCGCGTCCAAATGCTGTTTCCGAAGGCAAAAATAGAGTGAATACAAGATCTTCAGGTAACATTTTAATCACCAGTTCTCCAAACTTTCCTATTTTCTCCTGAGCGAATTTTTTGTTTGATTTTTGTTTTGGTGAAGCAATTGCAACTTTTGACATTGAGATTTGTCCAAGTTGAAGTACTGAAATTATCTGAATAATTATGAAAGAAATTGAGATGATTACACAGACAAATTTAACTTGATTCTTCAACTTCTTGAATCCCCCTTTTCTTCTCATTTTCTTTTGACTAATCTTCAACTCTTCTTGTTGACTAAATGATGTGGTCACGAAATGGGGTGGTCGAATATTTGATTCGAGTTTCGAGGTGAATTCAGCCTAATTTAGTGTTTTTTTTTTTTTGACAAAAGTAACTTTTATTTTTGTGGGCAAGTAAGAAAGTTAAATATGACTTCACTCGACTAACCAATTTCGATCATGCTCTTCCTTAAACATTCAATAACTAAATTGCGAATGGATTTGAGGTAGCGTATCACACGCGATCATATCATGTCTCATAATTCATAGTCTGGCCATCTCAATTGGGAAGAACGCTTGAACTTCTCAACGACATTTCTAAATGCTACAAGAGTTTACAATACAAAGGTACCTGAAAATCTATTCTTGTGCAAATTATCTTTCAATCGATTGCATATTGTGAGATTTATGTCCAATGGATAAAAATTCATATTTGAGCAAGCATCATAAAAGATTGAAAGTGTTGAATACATACTGCAAACCACTTCTTTCAAACCAATGAACCACCTTGACGCAAGTGTCAAGTGAAATCTGTGACCCCGGTAGGAAGTGACAATAATAAACAAAATTTTAGCTTCTTGTTTTTATTCAATACTATCTTAGTGTTGTGCACTCCAACCCAACAAACATGCCACAAATTAACAACATGATTGAACTGTAACTGAAACTGATCCAATGTGCAAGAGACTATAAAAGTGGGGCAAAATTGTGATAAAAGAAACCAGTTATCTTTTCATTTATTACTTCTTCTCACAACAAGTCTTGTCTTGTATTCAATATGCAATTTAGCCAAGCCCACCCGACTCAAACTTCCGAGGAATTTTAAGTCCAAAAGGTCGCAAATTAGCAGCCATGGGCATAAGAAAACAGCAGGACTGGTGAAAACCAAAAAGAAAATGACATAGTCAATGGAGTAAGACATAGTTCCACAGTTAATTGGTAGACACCTGACTCTCATAACCATATGGGTTCTTGCTCGCCCAGTTCCACTGATCTCGGCACATCTCATCGATGCCATATTTTGCCCTGCAAACACGAGGAATTCTGTCAGAAAAGTGAATGTAGAGCATTACACTGTCAACTGTCAAAAGGTTCAACCAGGATAGAACTGGCTGTTAAAAATATTTAGTTAATTATAACCGTTGTCCAAAGCTTTACTAAATTGCTATCTATATAGCAACTTTCAAGTCTGCCCAATATTATGAACAACTACAGCGGATGGTAGGCAGTATTGGTGATGGGGACTAGAAACCACTACTATGAACAGATTTTAGCTTCTTCATTTTTTTCTTTTATTTATTTATTTTTTTCTTTTTTTGCTTATTTGACACTATCCAACATTTATCAGTATACTGTGCACCAAGTACTTAATTTTGCATAGCTATCTTAAAATTGTGTTGCTGTGAGTTGAATACTTACTTCCAGGACAACTCGCGCTCAGCTTTATCTGTTGAAGCATATACAACCTCAGCATCACCAGGTCGTCGAGCAGCCATCACTAGAGGGATTTTCTACACAAGCAGGACAAAAATTATGATTACCCTGAACTGGAGGTAAGCAATGCATAACTAAATGCTAACCAACACACTTGAAGCAACTACTATGACATGTTTAATCAATAGAAAAAAATAATTAAGAATTATACCTTCCCGGATGCCTTCTCAAATGCAGCTACCATTTCCAAGACTGATGTACCCTTCCCTGTCCCCAGATTGTATACCTCACAGCCTGCAGTCCACATATTTCAATAAATCAAGCCAGTGGAAAACCAACATTAGATACAAAGCAAGCAGAGTAGATAAATTAATTCAATAAAAACGTTGTCCAAGGTAACAAATTACTTGGTGAACCACAATTCTACAAACATAAAGAGCAGACAGGATTCACAAGCTGAGGTATTTGAGGAAAACATTGGTTTCAAATGACTAAGAAATAAATTACAACGGTACACAGTTTCAAACGAGCAAAAATATATTAAAGCTGTCTCCATCGTGATGTTCAAAATAGCACACCCATGGGGTACCGACTGGGAAATGAAGTATTCAAAGGTTAAAATTAGAAACTAAGTGCAAAACCAAAACCAAAACCAAATACAAAACCATAAGAATATTTGGAAAAAGGGTTAATTCATCCGACAAAAACCCTTTAGCTATCTCAGCCCACACGCACAAATCATCAAATCATTCTGTCATGTATGTTATAAACTTCCCAGTAAATATGTCAAAACTTTAGATCAGAAAATATATATACACTTAAAAGGCCCATACAAGTTAGATGGTAAAAGGCTGATATAAAGCCCTATATCATGTAGAACAATCTCACATATCTTCAGATAAAAATCAAAATAAAGTCAACCTAGTAACACAATGATGTAATAAGAAAAAGGGACACTTGAGTGAGTTCAGGAGTTACAGTAAGATGTAACTCAAGCCCAGAGATGTTCACTCGGATTACTGACTGAGGTTTAAAGTACTTCACTTTAAATAAATAATTTTAACAATACAATTATATTGAGTGTGTTATGGGCAGGAGCTGGTTCTCGAAACTTGAATCAGGGAATGGACTTGTTTGTAGAACACATTGTAGTAGACATTACAACTAAACCGAAACAAGTACAGCATTGGATTTTGAATGTGCAAATTCCTTTGACAAACCCTTACACATGCCTTCCTCAATTTCCCAACCAAAAACATAAAAAATCTCCAGCAACAATTCTCAATGTCATACCTGAGTGTCAAAGAACAATAACGTATCTATAAATAAAAGGTACTCAACTTTAAAGTTTATCAACTCATGTAGAGAGATCATATAAGTAAATTCAATATCACAGAAGATTTTTGAGCTGAAATGACTTAAGAAATAAGACTGGTAAATAAGACCTCTACATTCTCTAAGTCCATACCTACTGAAGGATCAGAAAGCTTGCTCAAAGCAGCAATATGGCCATCTGCTAAATCCACGACATGGATATAATCACGTACCTGAAAATATGAAAACAATTAATCAATATTGGTACAATAAGTACAAGAAAGCTAACTGCGTTGTTGGAACCGATCTTTTTGGCATCCTTTGTCACACGTCCCAAAAGGAGACCAAGATGATCTTAGGCTCAAAATTCTACACACAACCTATCCTGAAACATGGATGGATTTTATAAAGTAACCAAATAACAATAGCTTACTTTATATTATAATATTATTCTATTTTCTTTTCTTTTTCTTTTTGGACAAAATAGAGAATAATGGAGGCAGGTGGAGCAGCGACCTATACTTACTATGAACAGAAAGATTGAGAATAGTTGAAATCGGGCACAGGCACATACAGGAGGTACTAAACTTCATGTTTACCAAATAAATAAAAATTGGAAGCAACTGAATGCCAATAAATTGACCAAACAGAAACATAATCAACTACAAATATGGTCACCATCCAATGCTGACAAAATGGCTTACCCCTGTGCCGTCTTTAGTTGCATAGTCAGATCCAAAAACTGTCAGAGCAGGTCTCCTGCCAACAGCTACTTGTTGCACAAATGGCATGAGATTATTTGGAATTCCACGAGGATCTTCACCAATATAGCCACTAGGATGTGCACCAACTGGATTGAAATATCGCAACAATACGATTTTCCATTCAGAGTCGGAGCTATAGATATCACGACATATTTCTTCAATGAAAAGCTGGAAAAATCAATATCGTTAGGTGAACTCCCGTATGAGAAATTTGATAGAAACTTACACGAGGGAACCAGAAGAAAGAATAAAAGGAACATACTCACAGAGACGGAAGTTATAAATGACATAAGTGTAGGCTCTGTTATGGATTAAGCCCTAATCCTAGTCCCAGAGGAAATAATGAATGAAACATAGCCCCCTTTTGGTGGGAATTAAAATTAGATTTTTAGTAGATTTTGATAAAAGTTTTGGAAATATATGGTTAAAAAGTTGTAGGACCATAAAATATGTGGTTAATATTGATTGTTTGACTTTGACTTAAATTAAAATCCGATTTAAATCTATACCAAACAGGGGCATAACATAAAAGTGCGGGTTAACCCCCAAAGTGAAAGGTACGTCCACTTGCCGCTGTAGATTTTCACTGCAATGAAGAAGGAAAATTACAATGTTTTCCTCACTCTCTCTTCCCACCTCTCTGTGATTCTCTTACATGAAGAGAAAATCTCAAATTCCTATTTATAATCTAGGAAACTAGGGCAACCTAATCCAAACATATGAATGTTCAATATATCCCTATAGCTAGGTCAACCCACGGTCAAGGGGATAAGAGATCATTATAATTAAGCTACATACGTACAAAAAGGCTCTTTATGTGTTCCCATTTCTTAATTTCAAGAGGAGTAAAAATAAATAAATAAAATTGTTCCCATTACTTATTAATATACATGCTAACATCATCTATCTCTTCTTATTAGCTGCATTCTGAAAAGCATTAACGTAAAATTGACTCTAAGAATATCTTTGTTCGTCCATTTCAGTTACATTTTCTGTTCTTCTCTGATATCAGTTATTGTGAAAAACATTGACGTAAAATTGACTCTAAGAATACCTTAGTTCGTCCATAGGGATTCATAGCACTTATGGGAAATTCCTCTGTGCATGGCACCACTTTTGGCCAACCATAAACAGTAGCTGATGATGAAAATACAAGCTGCAATGTTCACAATAACTGATATCAGAGAAGAACAGAAAATGTAACTAAAAACACATTATGAGACAGCAGACGGGGAAGATCAGTACTTTTTTACATCCATGTGCAGCCATAACTTCTAGAAGAACAATTGTTCCAATGAGGTTATTATTATAATACAGCAAAGGTTTCTGGACACTTTCTCCAACAGCTTTTAAACCGGCAAAATGAATAACAGCATCAAACCTTTATTGAATGTGAAATTGGCAACAAGAAAATGTCAGAGTGGTGAGTGAGGGACCAATATAAACAAAAATCATTCACCTATAATTATTAAAAACCCTTTCCATCCTAATATTGATATCATATCCAATCACTGTTGAGTGCAAAAGTGGGCTTTGAATAAATTTTTAGGTTTGAAAATGGAAATACTCAAAAAATACTCAAAGATACTAGAAAACAAAATTCTCCCGAAGTAAATCAAAGTAAATACATGGACATGCACCAAATTTTAATTTAGGATATCATTGAAGAAACCCGTTTCTCATGTTATAGGAAGGGAATTAAATCTGAAAAAAAGTATGGGATTACTTTAGAATGTTGAAGACCTTTTCAACTAGATCTTCAAGAAAAACAGAAGAAAATCAGTTTTACTTTACCATTCCTTTCCTTAGTAATATCCATGTTTCCAAAGAACTCACTGAACATATCAATTCAGGAATCTTTCTCACTCAAATCTTCAAAGGCTAGCTTTTGAGGGTTAAAATGAATAATCCAAAGAACACCAGTCAGACTTACTTTTGAGAAGCAAAAAGCTTTTCAAGTGCGGGCTTATCGCGAAGATCCATCTGCAATCACACCCAAAGATCATATACATCAAAATTAGCAATCATCACAATCAACATTCATTTACAATGATCTAAAGAAAGGCAGAATTTCGAGCAGTAATGAAATAGAATACAGATAAAAAACAAATCAACTAATACAAGATCCCCCAATTTCCCACTTTTTCTATCAAACTTTTCAATCCACCAAGTGCATACACTTGTTAAAAATCAAACCTTTTTACTTAAAAAACAACTACACAGATCAATTATCAACAAAACTAGGAAAGGAAAGGGATAAACAAAGTAACGGACACAGATCAAACACCTATCAACCCTAAAAAGCACCCCATGTTTGCACAAATAGCATAATCCCACAATTAACTACTCAATTAAACCAGTTTTAAAAAAAAAAAATCAAACTTTACACCAAAAAATAAAAATACCCAAAAAGATTTTCCACGAAATTAAAGAGGCAATTAACAGAAAAAGAAACCTGGTGAAAGGTGAGGTTGGCGCCATATTCACCGGCGAGTTCCCGGACTCTCTGGACGGCAATATCGGAAGAATTGTCCAAATTGTCAACCACCACAGCCTTATACCCGCCCAGCAGCAATTGCAGCACTGTATGACTCCCAATGTAACCTGCTCCACCGGTCACCAGTATACTGCCCGACATCGTTTCAATCAAATTCTTGCACACAAGAAACTATAGCAAGTGTAGAAATTGAGGAGAGGAGCCTACACAACTGACCTGGATCAGATTCTATATATATACACACAACATGGTATATACGCAATTCTTTTTACCACCGGGGTTGGGTTGGGTTGGATTGGGGTGGTGGGTGGATTTTTTTTCCCAAAAATAATTTATGAAGGAAATAAATTTTCTTGCGTAAACAACCAAAAACGTGATTTAGGCATTTATTTTCTTGCGTAAATAAATTAGGGCTTGTTTGATTCATCTTATTTTTCATGGATATTTCCAAGTTCCAAGTTTTTGATTGTTTGATGGCAAAAATTTTCTTGATAAAAGATCCAAAATTTCAACATTTTTAAGTTGAAAAATTATACCAATCAAACACAATTAATCGACAATTTCTAGGAAAACAAGTTTAAGCAATTCAATTCCCTTAAATTCATTTTCTTTCCACCCAAATTTTTCTCTTGCAATCAAACGGACCCTTAAGTTTGATATGGAACTGGAACTTCGAATTATTTGACCATTTATGTGGCAAATTCTTGGAATTTCTTCCTTAATTCAAATGTATTTATGCTTCTTCCAACTTTATAGTAAATTAGGTGAGGGAATAATACTTATTTATTGGAACATTTCATTGAAGTAAGCAAAGTTTTTTCAAACTATGTGTCTGATTTAATTTTTTTGTTCATTCTATATTTTTGTTCAATTTAATCATTTATCTAAAATTTATATAAAGATTAACTATATTAATAATCTGATTAATTAGATTTACATTTGTACTAAAACAAATCAAAATAAGTGTTCCATGGCGAAAATGATATGTATGATGTATGTAACTGACGAATCCATTTCACTAGCCAAGTCACAAATTGCATGGTCAAGTCAAGAACTTTGTTATGGTTAGATTGAAATGAAGGTATAAGTTAGGTGATCGAAATAAAATAAACTGAAGTAAGATGGCCAACTTGAAGCATACCTTCATTGAAATGTTTCCATTTATTTAACATTGAGGTCTCTTCTAAATTTGCTTATTACCATATCCATAAATACTTACCAATTAATAAATTGAGCAAAGTTACACATACAGAAATGAAGGCAACATAAATGGTATAGAACACTCGTAACAGCAAGGGGTCATCAATTTTTTTGCAATATTTTATTTATGTGGGACCCACCTCCCGTGTGAGATTTCTGGTAAGTTTCTGTGAACTGCATTTTATACGTATGGAAAGATTCTAATAAATTTGAGCAAATCTCAAGATGGGTAGATTTGGTTAGGCCGGACTTTCTAAAGTTTAATTTCAACAATCTAAGTAAACGCATAAGTCTCATTAGGGTATATTTTATAATAATGTATAGAAATTTAATTGGGACAATCTACAATTGATTTATGAGAAATGAAGAAAATATAATGACAAAGTAGTGTGAATGATTATGCCGAACACATCTACTAGCTAACTGAGTGTAAAATATATTTTAGTGAACATTTAATATTTTATTTATTAATATTAGATGATGGACGGTGGTAGATCCAATTCACACTGAAAGACAGAATAGTTAGGTTTTGTCCTTTCACTATTCTTTTCTTTTGTTATTCCTCTTTTCGCGTTCCTTTGCATAGGATTCTTTTTGATCCAATAAACGAATAAAATAAAAGGGATTTAGTAATTATTCCCAGTCAGGAACTTTAAAGATTTACAACTTGTTTAATCCCCATTTTTTTTAAAATATATTTTTCTTTTTATTATTTTTAATCATACATTTATTAATAAAATAATATTACACGTGATTCAAAAACTTTTTTTTTTCATTGTTAACCACACATTTTTCATCAATTTACTATTCCAAAATATATTTTATACTAAAAAAAATGGAGCTCAAACAAGCCCTTAAAAAGGTGCAATTTTTGGAGTAAATATAATATGGAATATTCATCAAGATATTTGCTTTCATTTTCCTATTCTTCCTTTATTTCTTCTTGTCCTTTTTTTCATCAATTCAACCGCGATTATTTTTCTATAAATACAAGAGTTGTTTACGTAACAATGAGATTAATAAATTTTGAGGAGACTTGGCTACATTCAAAGTGTATATTAATGTTGACATTGTGGGAGGTGTATGAATCTAGTCATCGATTATTTGAAGTGTTGTAAAAATCAATGGCAAAAATGTTTGTTACCTCACACTATCGAAAAAATTGTCAAAGTGAGTGTAACTATATCAAGACTGGTTTCATTTATATGAATCATTTTGTTGGTTATGCTATCAACCATTAACTATATCGAAATGTTCCACGTGAAATGTTACGCCAAAATGGCTCTATTCCCAACAAAGCAATAGTTATGGTAAGGTTGTCGAATTTTCGATCATTGTCGAATAAACATTATTTGGTCCGAGTCCGTGCCAAGCATCGTATTATTTTGCACAAAGGGTGTGGAACCAAATTGAAAGAAAAACGTGACATGCTGGATTAATGCAATTTGCTTTATATAAATAAAAATATGGTGGATACAACAAAGAACACAAGAAAGAAAATCATATGATAAATTTAACCGTTAACCAATCTAATCGTGTCTAGTCCAACATGCCAATCTATATGTACTATAAATTCAGACAAAAAATTTCGTTCAAATTTGATTAATAGTTGATAAAATTTGTCACTTGTCTTCTTATTCTCGCACCGAATAACTTTTACAATTTAAATTTTAGGTAAGATTTCGTTGTTTAAATTCAATTATGCAAAACAAATATAGATAATTATTTAAACCACTTTACTGCAATTGCTTAGAGTAACCGCAATTCTGGTATCGGGTGATTGGCATAGGGCCTGCTTCAGCTGAAATGCCATGATTAAAATTAACATAACAACACAGTTTGGTAGAACCAGCCACGGGAAAGGCATCTACAGAATTTCCTTTTCGACTTTTCGTCATTCAGTTTGATTAATTACTAAGTTTTTGTTTGTCAATAAAAATTGAAGTTAAAAATCAACAATTAATTTTAACCGTATATTTTACGAAACTCACAATTTTTCAATCGCACATTTCATTAGCTTTTATCATATCAAAAGCTATGCACTTGCAAACAACGCTGATCATATTAATTTCGACCTGGTTCTTCCAACATTATGTGTAACAACTCATCAATTGTTGCCCTCGGGACGAGCTTTTACATCGATTCATGGAAAACAAGATTCTCGTATGCTTTAAGCGTTAAGTCCTTAGTTCAAGAACCTATAAACAACATGTGAACTGTTGACTTTTCAAAAATCTTTTTCCTCCACTGAGACATGTTTGGTCACTAAAAAAGCGAGGTAAATTTCACCGACTTTTAAGCTTATTAACCATACATGCTCTAAGCCCAAAATGTATCTTATTTTCATCTCATGTGACACAATCGTTTGACTAAACAAAAACAATTACCAAGTATTGTAAACTTCACAAGGATTCTCATATAATACAACATTGCTGTTCTTTCCAGCTTAATACTATCATATAATGGCTAATTATCCATTAAAGTGACGATTCCGTTCGTGTCATCACTTCAAATCCAGAATAATACATAAACAGGGTACTGTACAAATTATTGAATTATTTTACATTGTTCTCGTATCGTTAATATCTTTTGCATCACTTCCCAACTTGCAAACAATCTTTAGTGCTGCCACCCAAGAATCAACCTAGAGATACACGGGAATATTTTTGTTAGGGCACTGAATATAACGACGAAAGCCAAAAGTTGGAATTTCATCTCAAAAATGGACTATTATAAGAACTAGGCGGAATGTTGAGTTGATGAATTGAAAAAAAAAAAAATTTTAAAAGAACTTGTTCATTATACTGCCTGTACCGGTACTGTACAGCATAGGAAACAAGATTGAGTCGAAAACAATTATCAGTCAAATACTCGTACCAGGATATCATTAATTTCAATATTGTAACTACCTGTATCTTAGAGACATTTGAGCACTCATACCGCAGTCCATGACGAGTTAGGATATAAAAGCAATATCGAGTTTCCTCATCTTCTCTTGTAAGGCATGGAAGAGAATCAACTTCAACTATATCAGATAGGAGGGTGGAGTCCTGTGGACTCAAATCTGCAAAATATGATGTCCAATAAACTATTGAACACTCATTCTACATCCACTATGATTAAGAGATGCATAGTCAATGAATTTTTATGTTAAAAGCATAAGCATTCAATTAAAGGAAATCAAAGCAAACAATCAAAAAAAAATTATGAAGCACCAGATTATACAAGAGGGAGGAAAATAAAAGGTCTAAAATCATGTAGTGATGGAAGAAACCTAAATAATGACATTCGATAAGAAACCCACAAATTCAATCCTTACCGGCGGATGATAAAAACAAATAGATATATGATCCCTGAAGAACTACGAAGCGTGGAAGCCAGTCATCAACTTCAGCGTCATCAAGAGGAGGAGGTTCTCCCGGTAACGCTTCCCATCGCTACCAAATAGAATGGAGACATAAATCAGACGAAATAATGAAATCGAAACAATGTTATAACATGAAAGATGATTTGTACCGATCTTATGTACAGATAGCTTGAAAGACGAGCAGATCTCAATATTTCATCAAGATGTTCTAACCTGTATAAAAACGCAGTTCTCATCATTGGATTAGGAACCCACAACTTATAAAGTTGAAATAGAAAGCTCTTGAAGAAAATAATCTATACATAAAAAAAAAAAAAGCATGTAGCATAAACGTGTCAGAGCGATTAATTAGGTAAAAAAATTTCGTTCCTCTTTGCTCTGACTCAAGAACTGAGGAGAAAAATCTTCTTTACAAGGAAAAATATTTCTGTGCCTCTAAATTTTTAACAAATGGAAACTTTGTCTTGAAAACCAATTGCACTCATTCCCGATCAGCCACGAGGTAGAAGTAGGTATCTTATCATGGTTCAAAAAAATGAAAACTTGAAGGTTACTAGGAAGTAACCGAACCAGCCACATATGCCACTAATTGGGGACAACCAGATGATACAGTTCTTACGAATTGCTAAAGTGGGGGTCACATAATAAAGAGGATATATAAGATATGTCAATATTCAAGATATGTATGGGGTATAAAGGAGAGGGTGAAATCCGAAGTGTTTTTTAGGTTCTCCCTTTTTTTTTTACTTCACAAAACTTGATGGCTTTCAAGTCATGCAGGATAACATGACTCATATCTGGTCTTACATCAGCAACATTCAACATCAATTATCTGATTTTTGTACTGTCACGAAGAAGGAACTAATAAGCTCGCAAATGGAATTGGAAGAAGGAAGCACAAGATGGGAACAAAAAGGGCTTATCTAGCCCTTGTTTGAGACCCATTTTTTGGGGTAAATGTGTTCTGGAATAGTGATTTTTTTTTTCTGAGAATTTGTTGTTAGAAAATAGGGAAAATTTTGGGTTTACGTGAAATTATTTTATGGAAGAATATGCGGTTGAAAATGAGTTGTGGAAAAATGAGTTTTGAGAAAAATAGGGGTCAAACAAAGGCCTAATATCATAACGAGGCAAGACGCATTGCTTACTGAGCTTTGTAGTGAGATTCCCTCTCTTCTAAATCAGCTATTTCTGAACGAAGAGATTCTACCTCCACAGCACTTAATAAAACCTGCAAGTCAACAGTTTTTGTTGCATAACTGAAACCATACTCTCAAACAATAAGATGCTGCAAATTATTATTATATTGACCTTTTCCTGACCATCTGCACCTGATCCCCAAGAAAGCCTCCTTAGACTAAACAGGTTCAACATGGATGCAGCACTTTTTAATTTATTTCGAGCCCAACTATTGGACCTATTCTGAAACAAACGTGACTACAATTAATTTTAACCATATTTTAATTTTCTTTTCATTTACATCCCAAGAAAATGTACCTCAAATCGCTATTAGTTTTTATATCTGTGACAGATGATGTTGGACTTGGAAGAGCATTTGCAGTGGAGGTCGAAGCTGAAAAATGGTCAGAAATCACCTTCACTCCTCGAGGACCATCACCCATGAAAATCTCAACTCCACTGAAAAAAACCTATAACCAAAATAAAAGACATTGAAATTCACAAGCTGACAAGCATAATATGTTCCAACAACATTGGGAGTTTCAGTACTGACATAGGGAACATGCTCCTTCTATAAAAATTAGTCATCAGCACAATGCTAATATCTGGAGGTCATTATTATCACGTGTCAACGACTACCAAATTTGAAGAAAATCGGAGATATTTTAGGTTTATACAAGGATATGTATTCAGTGGCACACACAAGTTTCATCATCAATCTGAGTTCACATCTAGGATCCCTTTAAAGGGTCGCTGAGGCACGACATATATCAGCAGTAGAAGTGCGTATGAATTATATTTACAACTGATTAGAGATTAGTTATATTGATCAGCCAAATTCAGCAACTCGTATATCATTATGAGTTATATTTATCAACTGAATTCAGCATCCCTGATAAACAAATAAATGAGTTTAACATGTGCCTGAAGAATTAAATTACTATTGTATTTTGCTGTAATCTAAAACGTAAAGCATATCTCCATCCAGAAACTTACTAGAATAGCAAACTACCATTATACCCACATAAATCCTGCCATGAATTAATAATCTATCAAATTATCCTACGTTAATTGCCAAAAATATTCTTAATTCCATGCTAAATTAATATTAGAAAAAAAAATTTGAATCTTGTGAAACAAAAACAGTCCTGGGACAAGTCTTCAGCTAAATAAAACCACTAAACAACTCAATTTTTTCCAGATCTTGAAAAATAACCCTTTTCAAATCTTTGTAAACTAAGATTATTTTTATTGCCAGCTTAAATTCTTGATACAACTATGGCGTGTAAATTGAACTACACATGATTAAAGAAGCCCACAACAAAAACAAACTACTTTAACTACTAATTAACGAACAAAATTGTACCTGTATTGCTGATGAATTTGCATAGAAGAGTCGTTTAACAAATGAAATGCTTTGATCAATAATGAGACTTGTTTGGAGACTATTTTACTTTTGTTTTCGGAGTGGTTAGAGTTTGTTTACGATAATACCCCTTATTTTGCATCAAGTAAATTTTGACAAAAGTTGATAAAATATATAATTAAAAATTAATTTTTGATTTTAATTTGAGATTAAAATCAGAAACAAACAGGGTCATCATAAGACGTGGGCTTCTTGCTTAGCTGGCCGTATGGTAATTCAACCGTATCGTCCACCCGACTTACATATTGTAAATTGTAATGATTATAAAGCCGAAAAAGCTAGATGTATAATTGAAGTGTACATCTAGTTTGACATTTAGGCCCTGTTTGGCCATCATTCTATTTCTTTTTTTTTTTTTTTAATTTCAATCACACATTTTTCAAATAAAATAATATTATATGTAAATTTAAAATTTTCATCACTTTTTTACCACACATTCTTCCATCAATCACCATTTCAAAATTTTCAACCCATTAAAATGAGTGTCAAACACTCACTAGTGTGTTGTTAAAAAAGAATTGAAGAAAAAATTATTTATTTTTTTAAATTATCTAATGATGTATTGTCACACGATAAAAAACAAAGAATAATATACATATAGCACAATTGTTATAGAGCATGCTTAGGAGCTTCTTTAAAAATTAAATGATTATAAGTTTTGGAATTGCAAGTGAGCAGTAGCTATGTATCTTAAATTTGTGGATAAAAAATGAAGTTGATTAATATAATTTAAACTTAATAGTTCATGGAAGAATTGAACCAACAAGTTAGACCAAATAGTCCATTTCTTAAGAACCAAGAAGAATTTAACCAGATGTACCTAAGTTGCGTCTGGTCCTGCTCCAATAAGGTATACCATATTATTACTAGGGAAAAATACATAAATAATGAACTTGGAGAATACTTTTCACAATTAACAAACTTAAACAAAAGTTTCAAAAATCGGGTGTTATATAATATATATAAATATAATATTAATATATAGATAAAATATAATCTAAATAAGGATAATATATAATTTTTTAACATATCCTTAACAATATCGATTATTCCAAATATTACAATACATTTTCTCTCTCCGAGTACAATCTCCTACTCTCCTATTTCTCTCTCTAAGTACGATTCACAAAATCTCTCCTAAATCACCACGAATTACTCCTAAATCATCGGTTGGGCACAAAATTGGTGAATATATTCTCCAAACACCGCTATTCAACTGATAAAGTCACAATACAGTCGATGACTTCTGATCTTCAATCGAACGCAATGGTTGAAGAATTCGGTGATTGAAGATCTCAATATTTCACTATGAAGTGACATACACTTGGATATTTTTTCATAGTTTCAAGTTCTTTCGTTTTATTCACAAACTGTGTATTATAGAATTGAAAGAATATTCAAATGAGATTTACTCTTGATCTGAAATTTTGAATTCAACTTGTAATATAAAAATTCAAAATTTTTTAGTAGATTTATGTATTTCATAAAATTATAGCATGGCTTTACTGAGTTTTGTGATATAAAAATTCATCTTTTGTTTTGACTAGATCTTTGTAAGTTGTTGTCGTTTGTAATTAGATTTATGTTATTTGTGAATGTATGTGACAAAGTTTGTCTCCATTGTGACTATCTGTGACCATGTTGTCGTAGTAGTAATTGTTTGCAGTAAATGTTTATGACAAAATTGTTTACAATTTAAGTTTGTGACCATTTATATTTTAACTATGATCCTCCATGATCATGTCCGTGTTAACTGTGATCAGTTGTCACCAGTAATGTGTTGAATGTGACATGTTGTCAAATTATGACGCGTGATCACAAAATTTATCTAACCAAATTAAATAACAATTATGAAAAACGATTTGTCATCTTCATTAAAGCGACAAACATCATCCGTAATATTAAAAATGTGAAAATAACTATCTATATTTACATAACAACCAATATTCGTCTACACAAACATCTACAGACTATATATAAAATGAAAAATCATTTTTAAATATTCAGTTCTCAATAAATCAATCGTATGTCTTTATTTTTCCTCTCCGTCGGTCTGCATAATTTGTTTGTGCTTGAACAACAATGGCGTAATTTCAAACCTCGCTTTAGTTGCATCAAATGACATGAAGTGTTAGATGTGTGACAATGATATGGAGCTGCTTGTAATATTTTCAGGGGAACCATTTGCTTTCTTTGATTATTGTTTTCAATCCTACACAAATTCGAGTATTAAACACGTGATTGTGACCTTGATCAAAAATATAACACGGGGTTATGGCCTAAAAATTGCTTGATTATGACCTAATCGTTTATATCCGTGACAGTTTCTACAAAATAACTAATAAATTGTTGCCCATTCAACACTTGTATTTAGATTAAAATCAAGTATTGATATTACAAAATCAAATCACATTTAGCAAGATGAGGTCACATAAGATATAAATCAGGTAACATTTTGAAGAAAAAAGGAGGTCACAAATTATCAAAATCAGGTCACAAAACCTCATTTGCAAGATGCATGTCATACCTATATTCCATATTTCACGTTGCTGGGCATTTACACAAAGTAAATAAAATAATAAAATTGCACGTACAGATTAGGGATTTCACCTTCTTCAAGAATTTTTTACCGGATGCAGACTCCTTCATTCTCTTAGGTGAAGAAGATTTTTCAGCTTTTTTTCCTTCATTTTTTTTATTTCTCTTTATCTCTTTGATTTTCATCTACACTTTAGATTAACGCTACTTCGAAGAACAACGAATGGTAAATGCTGCTTACACAAAGAATTTTATATTGGATTCTTCAATGTAATGTTGTGTGAAATCTCGGTACTGATAGCGGATGATGATAATAGTAGGTTATAGTGATTTAAAATTGAGGTTGAAGAAATGCACAATTGAGAAAGAGGGGTTGTAGAGAGATTAATAGATTTAATGTGAAGGTTGAAGAAGAGGACCCGAAGAGCGAGAAAGAGAAAGTGAAATGGTGGTTATGATAACATATTGGCTAATTATATTACCATCATAAAATTTACTTACTATATCACATTATAATCACACTACAATTAAAATATATTTCTAATAAACTTACCACAAAAAATTTACAATTACACTCTTTATTCAATAAAATTAAAAGTGAAAAAAAATAAAAAAATTTCAATATCGTGGAGTATTCATCTATCCCCATTTCACTCCTCATTTTTCACATCCTTTCAAAACATTCTGAAAATTCAGAAACATGAATCGGCTTAAAAAGCTTGTTGCTTTTCAGAATAAGGTCTTGGAGCATCCCCAAATTACTTCTACTATGCAAGGGTCAAGAATCCCTAAATTTCTTCTCGATGTGTCTTTTTTAGCTTATCTCTGTCTTTGCATTTCTTATTTTATTCCAGAAAATCTTTCACCTAAAACAATTTGGCAATGTTTTTGTTTTGGAACAAGACGTAACTTGCCAATTATAACTAGAAATTAATTTGGAATTCAACCATACCACAAGTATATTATTTTTCCCTTTTCTTATTTATTTGTTTTAGCATTTAAGATGAGCGATATTTTGTGATATACAATAAATTTTTTTCTCCTAAAATTTGTGCCTTTAATTTAACAATTGAGAAAAATAAAAATAAAAAATCTCCTTCTATAAATTAAGAAAAATATATCTCATACATATATAAGCCACTATATATCTCTAGAAGTACTTCCGTAGGAGGTTATGTGTGATCTCACCTCTTACAGACGGCCCAGATGATCCCATGCTTTCTAGGGGTACTTACAAAAATATCCTTAAAATTAGAGATGTTTTGAAAAATCATATGAAAAGTTTTAGGAAGTAAAAAATACTGTATAAAATGAAAAATTGGCACAATGTCACTTTTTTTAAAAAAAATTGTTGCTTTTTTACTTTTTTTAAAAAAGTTACAAAACTAAAAAAAAGTGATAAATACTAAAGTAGCACCATCTATTTGGGCAGCACCAGTAATCATGTTCTTAAAATAATTACCACATTCAGGCCAATCCACATGCAAATTATGTTAGGAAAATATAACATATTAATTTATTTTTTTATCTTCTTAAAAAGTGACAAAAAACTAAAAAAAGGTGACAAAATTCAAAAAGTCGCACAAATTAAAAGAAGTTATACATATTAGAAAATTGACATACAATAAAAAAGTGACAAAGTTCAAAAGAGTTTCAAACACTTAAAAAAGTGAAAAAAATTAAAAAAAAAAGTGACAACACTAATTAACTCATTCTAAGGAGACAGAAGATGAGAATCTTAGATCCACGTTGTGTTGAAATTAAATCATTCACAGCAATCAAATCGAGTACATAATCAACATATAAAGCACATTTTACACAAATAAATCTGATGCTACCTTCCCAGTTCTTGTAGAAATCACTACAACACTAGAAAACTTGGTGCCCTGAAACCCTTTGCCGCTTGACCCTCTTGTTGCTCCATCAATAACCCCATCAATTCAAGTCAAATATTTTATTTCTTCTGTGGTTGGCCAGTATTATTTCAAATTAATGGCCAAAGATAATCAGTTTGGAGATGATTCTTTAACACTCAAAAACTTTTAATTGACTTGAAGCTGAGCATGCCATTTTAGAATATCATATAGAGGATAGAATCACAGTATGGATTTTGCTGCAATGGAGAACATTTCTCCTTGATATACACTATAGTCTATCACATGATTCGAAATAGTAAATTTCAAGATTCACCAGTCTCTTGGCATCTAAAACCAAGAGAGCCTACTGCAAAAGAAGTACATGAAATTGCACAAAATTTTGTACTTCAGATTACTAACATTTCCAAAAGCGCCACTACCATGGTTTGAGATCGCCCACTGGACCCACTGTCCAATTCAGGACCTTATCGCCTGGCTTCAAGTACACACTCCTATAATAGGGTAACTTATGAGCAAGGCCATTCAGAATCTGATGGATGGCGTCCTTTGATTGAGCAGGTTGTGGGAATAACATTGCTTGTTTCATTGAAGGGTTAGCGAGTAATCTCTGTTTCCTCAAAATTTCTTCAATGGGAATCGAAGTGAGAATTGTATCCAACTTAGGAACATCTCTTTACCATTTTCGACTGCTGCTTTTGGGAAGGGCAACTGAGTGTAGGTGCCGGAGAAGATGAAAACTAAAACCCTTGTTGAGGAGAGTGTTTATGTTGAATGAATATTGGGATTTAGGTTTAGGACGTATTATTTACAGGTTGAATTGTTTAGCCCCTGTTTGTCTACCATTTTTCAAAAAATCGTTTTCTACAGTAATCAATATCTACCACATATTCAAATAATAAAATATTCTACACATAAACCGATAAAGTTTCTTTCAATTTCAACCACACATTTTCCAAAAAAAAACTATTCATTATACCATTTTATTCTCAATAATGGTTGACAAACAGGCACTTAATTAGTTTTAAAATGGTACTTTTCAATTTAATTAGTTTAATAGGGCACTGGGCCTAATTTTCCCCTTTCTAAAACCACATAGTCGATTGGGTTCCAACAGATGGATCACCCAGCCCAAATAGCAGCACGGATTGCACCAACCGTCCCATCACACAACCCGATTAAGATATCGGCCCAATACAAGGGCAATAGCGTCATTGCACCTTCCAATTATCCGCGATACCCAAACGCGAATCACATTTTTATTTCACAGCAAAACATCTCCCCTTTGCTTCCGATCTCTCAAAATTTTCCAATTCTTGTTCACATTTTTTAGCTCCATATCTATCGATTCTATCTATAAATATATATATTTGTGTATATCTTTCTAGATATATAAATGCAGTTTTATGTAAACAGACGGATGCACATATAAATAGATTGCCTTTATGTTCCACCACAATCGACCATCTGAGATGTCAAACTCTTCGTATGTCGGCTGTTACTTCTCCGGCACCGTAGTTTTTAGACTCTGATTAGATTTTCATAGGCGGCATGGTGTTTTGGTTCGATGTCGATTTGGATGTTTTGTTAAGAAACAGTTAAGATTAGGGTTTTGAGTTTTTGAAAGATTAGGGCCTTTTTGCGGCGTCTTTGGGATTAAAGGGTATCTAGTACTTGAATCCATTTAACTTTTTATTGGCGGGTTTATTTTTAGTTTCTGAAAGATTAGTTTGTAAGTGGTGGAGTTTTGGAAACTGGTATTGGAGTTTTCTGAAGGTTTGGGTCTTTGGGATTGTGGAACGAAGTTAGTTATGACTCGGAGTTCGAGGCATAAATCCCATAAACAAAGCAAACACAGTTCCAAGGACTATTCGGATTCTGAAGAGGATGTAAAGTTGAAGGAGAAAAGTAGTAAAGATGAAAATCCTGCCAGGGATTATCGTGGTTCAACCTCGGGTGAGAAAAGGAAAATTTCGTCCCAGGTGAGAGAAGGGAAGGATAGTAAAGATATGAGAAATGGTGAGGCATCAGAAGACTATGTTTTATCAAAACGGAGGAAAGAGAAGGCCAACGTTGGCAAAGAGATGGCTGATGTAAGTTTGGGTGTTGGCGATGATAGGTGGAGGGGTTATGGTGAGGAGAAAGGTGATACTGATAGGAATGATAAAAAGGAAACAAATAAAGGGGAAAGTTCGAAAATTGACTCGAAACTGAAGGAAAGTAACAGCAAAGGTGAAAGTTTGAGAATTGAGTCTAAGATTAAAAATAAAAGGTATGAGAATGGGAGTGGTGGTGAGATTAAGGAGGATAATATAGCATCCCTGGTGGTGGAGAAAGAGGAGACTGAACGTAAAGGAGAGTCAAAGAGGAAGTCTGAGAGGGATTCTTCTGGGCGGAAGGAAGGGAAGGAATCTAAGGATAAGGGTCGCGGATCAGAGAAGGACAAGGACAAGGAGAAGAAAGTTGGCGAGGAGAGTAAGCATGGGGATGCTGAGGTGAAATCCGTGGACGTGCATTTTGGACAGAAGGAACGATCACAGTTAGGATATTTTAGCGAAGGGACAAAGGCTAAACACAGTCGAGAAAATACTGGTAAGGTAACTTATTGTCGTGACATACGGGCCAGTGACTTGTAATTGCACTTTGTGTGCACCAACACTATGTTTATTCATTTTTGGTCCTTGATTCTGTTCGTAGATATGACATATTTCAAGTTTTTGGTTTTGAGTAGATATTAATTTTTGCATCAACTCCTAACATCTAATTTACTTTTAGAAATAAGAACTGTGTATGGGTGGGTCATGTATGCAAACTTAGTTTCTAGCTGAGACATTGGAATACGTTTTGGAGTAATGGGATTTTCTGTTTGATTTACAAATGCTTAAATTTGTTTTAGTGCAGGTTCTTAGTGAAGATAGGTTATTGTGGGGATGCTAGGGTTGGTTTAGTGAAGATAGGATATTGTGGGGATGCTAGGGTTGGTGTGTTTTGAGTGCTTTGGTTTCGAAGACTGTGGTGCACCCCTCTCCCTTTCCCTGTTGGTAGGGTGGAAGGTGGAGTAACTATTGATGGTATTCTTCTTTAGTGAGTGATGTCATTGGTGCTGGTGCATTTTATCTGCATTGGAGGGTGCAATATCCAAAAGACCTGTAACTTCGATTTAAGTTTATGAACATTATATTGCTGTAATGAAATAATACGAAAAATGTAGGGGGATTGGTATATGAAGTGAAAGAAGTTCGTCTGCAGACATAGTTTTAGACCCCACTTTGATCTAATTTTCTGTCCAGAATGTTTTACTTGTAGAATTGGTGTTTGGGCATCTAGCAGTTTGATTGGAAGGTCCATGGTTGAATTTCTTTTGGCTGTCGATTTTTTTACGATGCATATGGCACTTAGTTATCTTAGATTCATTAATACTACAATTTGAAGTATGAGGATATTAAACCATGTTTGATCTGTAGTCTCTCTAATTCCTACCCACTCTTATATGTCCCGTAGGTAATATGAGCTAATGCTATAGTAGTATCATGTATCTAATTCATATCAGGTGCATTAAGTGGAAGCATGAGAAGAACTCGTATATTTTTGGCTATGCACGAAAAGTTGATTCATATGTCTTTGAAATGATCTGTATTGCATTTTTCCATTTTTGTCGTGTCATTTTTTCTGCTTTGAGAAGAAATCAAATCTCTCTAAAGGTCATGTTTTAAGATGTCCTTGAGGTGATACTCAAGATTGATAATCAAATCAATTCCCTGAATATAGTTTTATCAAAACAAAAAAAAGGAAAAATAGGTAAATTGACCTTTATTTATTTTTTTTTCCTCTTCTTTTTGTAAAGTTTGATTCATGCATATGGAATCCTCTCTGGCTGTCTTAGATCGTTTGCTGGATTCAACTTGCAAGATTGTCATTATTTTGTAATTTGTTGATTTTTATTTAACGCCTATTTATAATCCTTTTGGCAGAGGGGCCTTTACAAGATGAGTTGCGGAATCTTGAGTTGGAGAGGGAACTCGAGAAAAGGATACGAAGGAGAAAAGAAGGTTCTGATGTTAGAGATCATTTCGATGATTTCAAAGAAGTTGATGAGAGGCGATTGTCATCAAGAGGTGATCTTGCCAAGGATGTGAAATACAGAGAAGATAGGCACAAGGACGGAGGTAATGAGGACAAGTATCAGAAAGATGGCCAAAAAGATGGTAGGCACAGGGATGACAAGCACCGGGAAGATACTGACAAGTACAGTAAATCTCGGGATGGTAAGTATCGGGAAGATGGTGATAGAGATGCCAGACATAGAGATGATAGACGTCGAGAGGATGGCAATAGAGACAGCAGACGTGGGGATGAAAATTTTCGGGACGATGGCAAGCATGATAAAAGGCAGAAGGATGACAAGTATTGGGATGGCACTGCAAGAGATATTCAGAACATGGATGATAAGTACGCCGAAGATGGCGAGAGGGGTAATAAATGTAGAGACGATCGGTACCGTGGAGATATTGACAAACACGGTCGGCACAATGATGAAAGGTATTGTGAAGATGGTGACAAAGATGACAGGAAGAGGGATGATTATAGAGAAGATGGTAGATGGTAGATACAAGGAAGATAAGCATCGAGAAGATATTGAAAGAGACAGTCGGCATAAGAATGGCAAGCGAGGAGATGATATTGGTAGAGAGGAGAGACTGAGAGAGGCTAAGTATAGGGATGAACGTACCTCGAGAGACTTATCTGGTGACAAGTCGGACCCCAAGCACTCTAGGGATGATGGTTATGGTGAAGATCGTCGCTCCAGAAAATTAATTGCGTATGATGATAGTCCAAAAGTAGGTGATCAGGGTAGGAGAAAAACTAAGGACAGAGGGGATTACGATGATATTAGATCCCGAAGTGCCAAGAATCAAGGGCTCGAATCAGAGAAGAAATCTGCCAGCAGTGCGAGAATGGACTTAGTTACTGACAGAGGAAGGTCCATCTCTAGGAATGCTGATGTAGAACTTACTTCTAATCATAGCAGACGGTACAGTTCTCCCAGCTCAAATTCTCATGTTACAAGGGATCCCTACAGGTACTTGATTATGTGCAATTATTTATTGACTAAAAGTTCAAGTTCATTTAACACAATAGAGACATTTGGGGAGTGGTTGGTATCCTGAATGCTGCAAAAACCTTTGATCATATATTGGCACTTAAATCTGTCTACTTTCTCATTGTTGTTGTATTATGAAGTTTGTTAATCTGAAAGTTCTGTCTGTTTGAATGAGCTCGGATAAATTTCTGGCAAGCAATAAATTTCTCCTTGGGAATTTTGCTTATTTATTTTATTTTTTTATGTGGAAATTGAAGATTAGACTTTGTAAGGAACAAGGTTGCTTTTCCCTCGACAAACTTCCATATTCCTCCATGGATGGTCCTTTTCCGCATTCTATATATGCAGCATTTTTTTCTCTTTTTGGTGGAGTATATCTACCAAATTTGAACTTAATAAGTGGCTGAAGTTTTCATGTTGCTTTTTTTTTTTCCTCTTTTTCGTTGTACTCCTTCCTTCATTTCTTTTGGGCTTGGGAGTGGTTTCTATTAATTGTGGTGGAATGGATTGACTTATTAGCAGAGTTTTGTTGGTAAAGAAATTATGAATTTAAAACAAAAATGAATGCTACTCTGCCCATTCTAGTTCTTTCAACTTCACATTGAACTTGAAATTGACCAGGTATGTTCTTGCCATATTTTAGAAATTTGTTAATGTTTGATCTGTCCAGTAGAGGTATTCAGTCTTTTTCTAGCATACATAGCATGCTTGACAAATTTATGCATTTCATTCCCTCAACTACATGACTGACCAAACGTGAATCAATGCCCATATGCTGTTTTTCAGGCTTCCAAATTATGCTTACGAAGAGAGAGTTCGGTACAGTGGAACTTCTAGCAGAGATTATTATGGTGCTGCAGGAGGAGCTTTGAGGGCAACTTCATCTAGATCGATGGAGAAACCTGGTCTAAAAGAAGATGGCCAGTTGGGGGAATTGTCAGCCGAAAGACGTCTGAAGTCTGACATTCGCTCATCGCCGTTGCAGCTAGCGGATAAGTCCCCATCATCGAGCACCGATTGGAGACACTTCACTAGATCTGATGTAAGGCAGAGTTTTGATTTTGAAGAATCAGCACAGCGAAGTGCTTTGCCGGATGCAAAGGGGTACTCTTGTAAGGAAGGCAGGGGAAGTCGTGAGTTGGTCATGGACATGCTTCCTGGAGAAGAGCATTCACAGGCTGGGGCAGATAATTTATCTGTTTCTTCACCTTTTATGAGAAATGGCCATTTATCAGACAGTTTCAAGTCAATACCACCTAGTCCTCTTTTCAAGACTGGGTTGGATAGCCCTTTAATATTAGGATCTGCTGAAGATGACAGCAGAAGTAAGTCAAATAACCATAATAGGAGGATCAGCAATCCCAACTTGGGAAGAATTCAAGGAAATGCTTTGAGAGGTGTACCAAATTGGCCTTCCCCTTTGGTAAATGGTTTCGTTCCTTTTCCCCACGGTCCACCTTTTCATTCTGCGATGCAGCAATTTCCTGGTCCACCAATCTTTGGTGTTAGATCATCAATGGAGTTAAACCACCCCTCTCCTTACAATATGCCTGGTGCTGACATGTTTTCTGGCCCTGGGCGTCCTATGGGATGGCGCAATCCGGGGGATGATTCTTTCCCTCCACCATTGTATGGTTGGGATTCAAGCAGTGCTGTCTATGGTGAGGAATCTCAAATTTATGGAAGGCCAGATTGGGACCATTCTAGGAGCCTGCCCAGTAGTCAAGGCTGGGAAGCAAGAGGAGATTTTTGGCAGGGGCCATATAAAACTGCAAGAATGGATATGTCATCTCCTGATAAAGAGAATGACTTTCCTCAAATTGCAGATGAAGCTTTGGTCGGTCAGTCGATTCAACAAGCTCAGAGCAAGCTAACTCCACATGATAAGCATTCTGAGAGCACTGGCATTAGTCAATCAAGAGATGGTTTGGAAAATAATGCTTCTGAAGCTCCTTGTAATAATCCAGAGGAAACTAATGACATTGCTAAAATATCAAGAAAGGATGATGCGTTTCTCTGCCGTTTTTACTTTTCCAAGCTTGACATATCTGACGATCTTACTGAATCCGAGTTGTTTAATAAGTGCACTGGCTTCCTTGATATAGATCAGAACATTCTTTCTGATGTAAAAGATTCTGAACTCTTTTATATGGAGGTAAAATAACAAGTCAGTTATGTATTTCATTGCACTGTCTTATAGTTTTTCCTAGATAAAAAGTTATTTTTAATTCCATTTTTTGTTTTCCTTGACAGGAAGCTGTAGAAGCTACAGCAGCATCTTCTAATAAAATTAACAATGTTTCACTGTTTTCTGCCACCAATGATTCTGTTTACCAGGTAAAGTTTTGTTGTGAATAGTGTGCATCCCTTTCTTGTTTAAAGAATAATTTCTGTAGTGCAGCATACTTATATTGGTATATAATCAAATTATCAGTTTCATTGCTGAGGTAGTAGGTTATTTGTTTTTTTTGATAAGTAATCATGTAATTTTATAAATCAAAAGATAATACACAAGAAGTGCATTATCAATTTAAACAAGATAGGAACAACAAGAAATTTGGCAACCCTTCTACCGGACTAATAGTTGGTAGTAGGTTATTTGTGGATATGGAAAGCGGCAAAACAGCCCTTGTGTCAATTAGCCAGTTCAAAACTATAAATTCTGGTGCCATCTGTGTATGCTGGCCAGTGGATTTTTGAATGTCCTCGATTGTTTATTGCACGAAGTTTTTTTGTTGGGTATACTAAATGCTTGTTTGGTAGTGCTTAGAAGTTGAGTTATATGAAATGTGTTAATAATAAGTGGGTAGCGAGTTGTAGATCCTTCGAAATGTGTGGATAAAAAGTATGCTTGACCAGCTTAATTATAATATAAGCATTGCCAAATATGCTCTAAATTGTATTCATTTGAGAGTAAACTTCTGTTATTGAACCAAAGTAGGATTTTGACCATTTTGGGCAACATCTTGCTCTTAGTTTAAGCTATAGCTAGGAAGCCTGGAGAGAAATGAAATAATATTTGAGATTCACTTCTTTTTATCTTATATCTGTGAGGAGTGTAGCTCTTGTTTGAGCTCCATTATTTGAAAAAAAATGATTTTGGAATAGTGTCTTTTGAAGAATGTGTGGTTAAAAAGTAAGAGGAATTTTTGGGTCTGTGTAATATTATTTTATTGAGAGAATGTGGTTGATGAAAAGGGAAAGAAAAATGAATTAAAATTTAATGGGGGCCAAACAGGGGCATAATATTATGGCCCTGTTTGGGAGGGATTAAATTTTTCTATAGTAAATCAATTCTCATTTTCAACCACACATTTTTCAATAAAATAATATTTTCCATTACATTAATAATTTTTTCTTCTTTTTCAACCACACATTTCCCATCATATCACTATTCAAAATCAATTCTTCCCCCAAAAATCTCTCCCAAACAAGCTCTATAAATGGTAAAAGTATTCCTTACTATTTTGCTTGCCTGTCCATCTTCTGTGATGCAGAAAGCAATGTCCTTGTATAAGAGGCAGAAAGAAGACTTTGGAGCTATGAATGAAGAGTTGATTGCAAAGATCGAGTCAATACCAAAATCTAATGAGGAACTGAATGCTGAAGAGGACAATACAGAGAAGTCTCCAGTTGGTGGCGTGCAAGATGTAGGGAATGCTCTTTCTAACTCTAACGGGGAGGTAGAGATTTCAAATAGTCTTCAAGTGGAAGAGTACACCAAAGACTCCCATCTGAGGCCCTACTTACCAGATGCGAGCGTGGTGGAAAAATCGGAGCCAGTTTCTGCCTCCAAACATGTTAACATGGACGTGGATTTGGTCTTGAACCAGGTGCCAGAGGAGCATATTCTTGAGAACCTCTCGTCTATAAAATCTGATGCCGATTTATCTGCTGGGGTCAGAGAAGTGCATATGGAATTTGCTAGTAACAATGAGGAACTAAACGTGTTTGGTACTAAATGTGGTCCTGTGCGTGATTCTGATGTGTCATCTGCGGCAATGATGCCGGAGTTAATTGAGTCTGCGCCAGTAAATTTGAGTCGGATACATCATTCTCCTGAAAGTACACATTGAGACAATTTATTTTTCTGAGCTTTTGAAATGCGGCTCATATTTTCTTATCTCTTTGCTTGCTCTCCATATCTGGTTAATATATAAAATTTTTTTCTCATCAAAAAGTTATTCTTCTAAATTTTGTTCGAAGGTGGGAAACGCAGTCGGGACTCGGGTCCCTTACTCCGGGACTACGGGGAAGGAGTTAAATTACCATAATTCGCCAGCTCTGTGGTCTGCAACATTTGAGAAATAGCCTATAATGTATGAACTCCTTTGGATTATGAGGTATTCATGCTTAAACTACCTTTTGCCTACACATATTTAATCATATTTGGTGGTAGATTTGGATAGTATTCAACAAATTAAAGAAGAAATTAAAATCTTATGTGTCTTTTCCTTTCTGGGACATAAGAATTTGGATCTATTTGTATCCTGTTCAGTTTTCAATCTGGCCCAAATAATCAAGTATGGCATTCTTGCTAATGCATGCCGGTGTAACCTTAAAAAATTGCTTAAAAGGAAGAACCCACACGAAATCAACAAAATAGATATTCGCATACTCACATATATACAGAGGGAGAAAAACAAGTTACTTTCAGCCATACCTAGATTCTTTCCTAAGCTTGCTTGCGTTCTTGCAGCAATATTCTCAGTCCGAGAGTTGTGGAGAGAATAAATATGGTTATGTAAAATACAATGTCTCAAATTTCATTTCAAATTCTGACTTTAATGCCCAGAAATTGTGTGTTCAAAGTAGTACAATCAAATTCCTCATGCAAAGATTGTCACAGAGAGTCTCCTATTTAACATCCAGCAAACAAAGACAGCAACTAATCTCATAAAGTAAGAAAAGGTATCAGTTTTCTATTACAAGATAAAAGTAATCAATCCATTTCTCCACATTTCAAATGGTAGATTGGAAGGCAATAACTTGTTCAAGTTTTTAGTATCTTGCAAGGCAGGCTCCAACAGAAGTTCAAATACATCCACCCAACTGTCAAAAGAGAGAATAGTCAATGAACAACTGGAAAACTGAAAAACATAAAAGGATGCCACGTTCAGGAAATCATTTAAGCACGAAAAAAGACGACGACCAAGCACACCCATGATATTCGAACCATACATGAAAACTTTCAAAATTCCGTATCATATAGAAACTACAGCATGATGATTCGCCAAAAGGGTGGTGAAAGGAAAGCTGACATAATAATTCAAAGGATGTTCCTACATGCTAACAAATGTGCTAGATTTTCCTGACACAGCTTTTTCCTTCAAAAAGCAAGTTGATATAGACAAACAATATTTAATAAAGCTGGGACCATAGTGAGTGGTCACGTGGAACCAATGAGTTGATGGAATGAATGGATGGAAGAAATTTTATGACAGATCAGACTCGGAAAGCATAAAAACTGGATCGCATCACACATTCATAACACTGAATACACTCAGTAATTGTTCCATACCAAGATAGCTTCAATCTCTTCTTGTGACACTGGTGTCCTTTTCGGCTGATCAGAAGCCTTTCCGCCCACACTCATGCTGGATGGAGGCCTTGAAAAAAATGTTCGTGGAACATCCCCAACTCCCGATGTTTCTTGATGCTGGGGTCCTGTACATGAAGAGGAACTGCCTTTGTAAGCATTAATCTAAATGATCTGGGTTGATACTGAGAAAAAATTGATGCACTCTATAGGCACAACATTTATTTCCCAACAAAACAAGCCTCGTGAGCTACAATGGATGATTTCTTCTTCCACTTCCTGATGAGGAAAGCACAACCAAGCTCTATGCATCCCATATAATCACACAATAATCATGTAGAAAACGAATATTGCAGAACTTACCACTGGAAAAATTGAACAAATATATTAAAAAATATTTCCATGAAAGATCTTTGTTATTGCAAAATTAAAAAGAAAGAGAACAATCATTAAATAACAATTGTCATAGCCAAGATTGAAGTGCTGGTAGAACAAGTAGATCCGTATAAGCCACCGAACACTTCAGTTCTTTGGGAGGAAGAAAGTAATAAAATTTAGAACGAAAATATGGAAACAAGAACTGGGATCCTAAGTTATAGAATATGAGATAAGATGAGACTTCTGGAAATGGTGTACTTGTGATTTTGGAGGCTACTTTAGCAGTGGTGTATTGGACTTGGAAATAGAGTCAAGATTGCCTATTTTAGAAGCGAGGTTGGTGATGAGGTAACATTAGTGTTGGGGCAACCGGTGTGGAATCAGAATTGGGGCGTCGTTGAATGCATAAATAAATATGCATTTATGACTGTCTGTGCTCATGCATGCGTACATTTGAATTTATGTATTTTTTTATTTTGTATGAGAGAAAAATAATGATATAAGAGAGAGAGAAGTCGTATGAAAAACAATATTAAGAACATAGAATTGTTCTAATGAAGGGAAACATGTGAAAAGGGACAAAAAGGTGTTCATTTTATGGAAATGAACATTATATTGAAACGGAGAGAGGAAGACAATAATTTCAAAAGAGAAAAGATGGATAAACGTTTCTACAGAAGCACAGAGCCGCAAATAATTCATAAAATAGCTCATCCTTTCTTGTATATCTAAAATCACATATTATTATTAGCGAGGACGCACCAAAACTCCAGCAAGTCCTTTCTTTATTCATGCACAAACACTGGTTTTATTTACATTCTATCAGTCAGTCAGCCGTTTGCTGTCATAGTTCTGCACTTCTTTGAAGGAATGTTCACTTATTCATACTCAAAAAAGATCCAGAGAAATTCTAATTTGCTTGATTAATAAAATCACCATGCCATTCAACATATTGGCCAACCAATACCCACTCATTGCTACAACTTGTAACTGGAATCAGAACTGAAAGAGATCGAGAAAGATTGCTCTAGCACAATGGCATTGCCATACATATTCTGGTCGTCTATTAAGAAAACAACCCAAACATTGAAAGCATAGGTTTATTTATCATCAGCTACACTACTATGCTTCATCACATTCTACAATACCACTACTACATTTGTAGAGTTCAAGTCATTCCGCCACCATTATACTAACAATTTCCATTGATTAACTTCATTTTTCCTTTTTAGTTCATCCCTATTAGATGGAAGAATCCAAAGTAAATAAATTACCACTAATCTAACAAACTAACAATGTTAACCCACATCTGATGTTCTCAGGAAGCTCATATTATCCTCCAATACATTTTTCACATCATTACATGCCTACTTTATAACAATTTCTAACACGCAGGAAAAAGTATTAAAATTAGTTTCTTTCCTCTTCCTTTTTCTGAGAAAAAAAATCAATGGTAAACCTTCATTAAGTCTCCAAATTATTCTATAAATTCAGATGCCAACCATTTCAATGACAATTAATAAAGGAACTCCCTCCCTTGCACTCGGAAACCTTTATTATATATTTTGAATAAATCAGATTACCCCGATAGAATACTAATTATTGCTAAAGGTGAGATCCAACAGGGATTATAAAATATAAAAATCCATCGAGAGAAAACAAAATCAAAATATGTATGTATAAGTGTGTGTATATCATACCCGAGGGCTCGGGTTTGGGATGCCTTTGAGGAAATTTGATGCGTGGTATTCTCTTCATCTCCTGCCCTGCACCAATTTTTTCTTCTTAGAAAGCTCTAAAATCAGTTGCCCTTCTCTTTTGATTGTTCAAAGGATTAATTGAGAATAGCCATTAAACGATTCAATTTGCCATATATTCCATATTTATTAAAAATAGCAGAAAATCCCCCATTTCAAACATTTTATTCGAAAAACTCCCATTTCGTCAGCATCCGTCTGGTGTGCCGTTAAATCCCCGTAAAAAGGGAAAAAAAATAGATAAATAAGTAAGAACAAATGCGTTAATTTATACTTTCATCTTTAATTACACCTACCCAACACGAAAAGAGGATATTTATGTCCTTCATTTCATTACCTGATACGACTTTGTTTCTTGCGTATGTAGCTGCAACCACTGGACCCTTAGCTCCGAGGGGCTCTTGTCTATGCAGATACGAAATGGAGATTGAGCAGAAGACTTCGTGGACGACAGTGAACCCGGGAAGAAGGTTCTTCACATGCACACGACGGTTGGCAATGGAAACCCGAACACAAATTTTGAACCAATTTTTAACTGAGTATACTCAAATTGATATTTTTTGGTTTTCTACGGAAAAATGGAGCTGTGAGTACTTCTCGTGGTTTGACCAACCTATGTGTAGTAGATTTGTAGAAATCATACGTGGGCTATTGAGATCTAGGAATGCACTCGAACAATAGTTGTTGGAACTGCAAAAGCAAAGCAGTGATTTTAAATTTAGGTTTTGGGTTTTTATGTGGGTGTAGTGATGTGGGTTTTGGCAGAAAATAAAGCTTCGATCACATTGTAGATATGTATACTGAATGAATGTTAATAAATGTTGTACTTTCACCCCCTTCATTACAGACACTACTCTCTGGGACTTCAAGCACTAGTTCTTGGTATGATTCTTGAGCTAAAGCTGCTGTCTAGCTAGACACAACTACATAAATCTCAAGCATCTTATGTCTTACATCAGATTCATTACACAACCTCCTCAAAGCAATACCTAAATCACCTTTCTACATCTTGAAGTAAAATTCTAAAGGCCCACACCACAAACGTACTCAAGAGCCTGGAACCATTTCCTATTGAAGTATTCAACCCTCACAAAGTCCACAAACATCACTGTACCATGTTCATAATTGACATTATTCTGCTCATCGAAGAAGACACCACTAGTGTATAAAGCCTTGTGAAGTAGTCTATATATTAGATTGGATGATAATGTGAACAAGAGTTAGTACATGAATCAGTTAAAGACCCATAGCAAACAACATGCAAACTTTTTTACAACAAAATTCCAATAAAACATGTAAATAATCTGAACCAAAATCCTTTATTTCTTAAACCGCAAAACAGAGCAACTTACTATACACACGAGCTTCTTCAAACCTTCTGAATCTTGAAGCTTCTATTCTCAATAATCACAATCAAACTGTAAACATACCAAAAAACAACTAATTTCAATATCGTATTCCATGATTTCATAAATTTCACACGCATTTTTTTAAATGAAAACCCGCTTCTACAACTTATAGTCGCACATTTGTTGAAGAATGACGGTTATTGAAACTTTAGAACACCTCAAGGAAACTTCTATGATCATAGGTGAATAAGGAATTGATCGTACAACGTGGGTTAGCAACCGAAATCCTCTCAATCTTCGCGTCTCTTCGTCTTGCACAAAAACCCCATCTTCGTGTTAGGTGGGTGTTATTAAAAATGAAAATATAAATTAACGCATTTGCTTTTACTTATTTATCCATTTCACCCCCTTTTCGCTAGGATTTAACGGCGCACCAAACGGATGTTGACGACATGGGTGCTTTTCGCACAAAACGTTTGAAACAAAAGAAGTTTCTGCAATTTCCAACAGGTGGGAGGTATATCGCAAATTGAAACGTTTACAAGGGCTATTATGCTATTAATTCATTGTTCAAATTAGAGTAATTTTGATTTTAGTTCTCAGGTTTTAGATCATGTTCAGATTAGACCTTTAAAATTAAATATTTTAATTTCATAGGCATGACACTAATATAACTATAATATTCTATATGAACATTAACATATGAAATATGGTAAAAACATATCCAATACCATAATTTCATTTTCTTGTTTCATTTCTAAATTGTTCAAAAAAAGAAATTCTTTCTCAAATATATTATAACACATTAACATATGAATAAAAAAATAAATAAAAATTAAGATATTAACCCTTCAAAAAAAAATCTTTAAATTATACAAATTAATGTCTAAAAAATTAGATATATTTGATATTTACCATAAATTAATCAACACAATTATTGTAGATTTCAGCTTTCTATAATAGTTGAATTTAAGGTTTGTTTGCTACGTCTTTTGATTTTTTGTACAAGAAAAGAAGTCATATCGGATTAATTTTTTTAAAAAGTTCTTCTAACTCGAAGATGTGCTTTTGAAAAGTTATCTAAACATGCTCAAAATTATTTTTTTAATCTAAGAAACAGCTTTTGATTTCAAAAGGTTTACCAAACGGGTGCCTAGAACACTTAGTTTGTTTAAACAAACACTTAAGTAATATAAAGTTACTTCTTTGAATAGATCGGATAGCCCGTCTGTGGCCAACCAAACCTCTACGGTTGAAAGTAAAAATCTAGTAACTCCTTTTTTCAATGTCAAAATAAGCAACTTACTTTTTTTTTAACTTGCACTAGTAAAAAGGTATATATTTTTAATACTTATTTACTTATCAATAAACTTTATTAGCATGCCCAAACATGCTCTTATTTTTTTATTTATTACTACATCTACTAGAAGATTCGAAATAATTGTAACATCTCTTAATTTTTTAAGTTCTTCTTTCGATATTCGATCAGCCTGCCTGATAAACTTAACGGTTTCTAATTATATGCACCGTTCTTTCAAACCAATAGAAAACATGGTGTATATTTGTACAATCAGCATATATGTAACTTTGGAGTTGATAATTCACACAAATATATAACAGTGACAAGAAATAAAAGGAAAATATCAAGATTTGGTACATCAAACCACACTGAAATAGATGAACAAGAAATTGCTGTTGAAGCACTCTATATGGGCCATGCCTATTTAAAATTCTTGGTAAAACCTAAAAAGGAACAAAAACTAAGAAGAATAGAAAGAAGAAAAAACGATTAACCAAGTATTGTTCTCCGTACACATACAAAGTAACTTACATTGATATTTTCTGGTCACTTCATTCAATTCATTTCTGCATCCTCTATCGAGTGATCAAAAATTACACAAAAGACCCAAATCAGCCAGTGGAAGAAGAAGATAATGAACAAGAAAAACGACCTGAGTCATTGCTACGTCTACTAGAAGATCTTATGCAACACGAGGAAGAAGAAAAAAAATGACTCGGGTCATTACTACGTCTACTGGAAAATCCAAACCAACCATTCGAAGAATGAAAAAGGCGTACGCAGAAAATGGCTTTTGAAGATTTCATCTGTCCATTTCCTCCTCAAGAACTTCATGAGGGCTCTCATTTATGCTGTCTAAAGATGGTTTCCACCCAACATTAGCTTTTTCTCTGCCTCTTTGTATCTCTCCCAATACATCTTCCAAACTCTTCCATTCTTTATTCTTCTGCTGGGAAAGTAGCCACTGCAATTCCTCCTTTGTCAATATGATTTTCACTGTCATTTTACTGCTTTTTTCTAAGCCATTTTCTTTCTGAATTTCTTCTGATTTCTCCTCATGTTCCTGTGGTGCCTTCTTCTCCAAAAATTTCTTGTTGTTTCTGCATTTATTCATGCAATTTCCCATTTTTGAAAACCGGAACTCAAAGAAATCGGAACCAATAATTGAGAGGAGTCACAAGTATGGTTAAGAATTGCATGTGTGTGGGCTCATTGCCCTTTTATAGTTACGATTGGGCAAAGAGTAATACTATTAAACCCCACTAGGTGTCAAGTTCCAATCTAGAATGATTTGTCATCTTAAATATAGGATTTAGAACGACAAATTAATTAATGTCATAACTGCTTATTTACCAATCGATCGCCCCTCGACCAAGTCAGACAGTCGCAGTTGATTGGGCGTTTTTGATTATTTGCACTGATCTGTATAGGCGAGAACTTCAATTCTCGTTCTAATATTCTTAAATCAACTATTTTTCAAAGTTTAAAGTTCAACTTTTGTAGCGGTCATCCTCGTGGATACATTTCGTCCAAATGCTACATTGAAATTTGACGCGATTCAACAATCAATTACATATTATATATGCGTAGTATGCCAAACATATTTGTCTTTTCCCGAACAGGCAAACGTATGATTTCTCCATGCAAATTACCTTTATAACATAAAATAATGTACGTAGACCATTTCATCCTGATTTGTTGGCACAATTTACTACAAATCTCATACTTTTCTCTAACTACTTTCTTTGACAAATTCATATCAATTTTTTCCTCTTCGTCGAGACTACGAGCATCTCTAATAAACATATCACGCGCATACTATTTTTTTTTTCCTTTTTCTCTCTTCGTAAATTTGTTTAACCGTTATATTAGCATCTCATGTCTGTGTGTGACTAGTTTTACTTTCATATTATTTCTTTTTCCTTTTATCATCTTCGCATAATCTTTTTGTCCATTTGAAAGAATAGATTCTAGTTCTTCTTGCTCTGCAGATTCTTTTTCTTCTCTGAATTATTTAGTATATATAAAATACTTTATTATTTGGAAAGATAGCGGGAAAATTGTACCTAAAATATTGGCATTTTGTTGAATCCCAATCACTCTCATAGTTACCTACCGCTGCTTTGATTTGACTACTTTAGCAAGAACATAGTCAATACATAAGCATTATATTTAGATCCAAAAGTAAATCAACAATACGTTTTCACACTTCTTGAAACTGTTCGTTTGAAATTTATACATCAATTAAACAAGAAATGTCACGCTCACATGAGACCACAATCCAAGAACTTGATGAATCGATTTGGGAATTGGACTGGTTGGTTGGTTGGATCAATAAAGTAGTCATTCTTGTTGATTTCACAACGTCCAAGTTTACATATATTACCGGGATTCATGATTGCTTTATAAGTACCACACTTGCTTATTTTAGGTGAATTCAAGAACAAACATGCTACATGTACACCTTGTTTTACATTATTTCTTATACTGTGCCACGAGTCGGCACATGATTAGACAAATTTAAAAAAAAAACAGCTTTCATGTCTAACACTTTTTGAATTCCCACACAATGTCAAAAAAAGATGTACACCATGGAATGTACACTAAGGGCCAATTTGATAGCACCCAATTTTTTAGGGAAGTTGGAATTCGTTTTCCATTTTCCACATTTTAGGCTGTTTGATAAATTAAATTTTTTATGAAATTCATTTTCCACATTTACCTCATTTTCCAACCTGATTCTTGGTTTTCAAGGAAAATCAATTCCCACCACACTGGTGAGAATATGTTTTCCAAGCCACTTTTTCTATTTTTTTCCTTTGCAATGAAAACAAATTATATGGACAATTGTAAAAAAAATTTCCCTTTAATGGACAATTTTCATGGAAAACAAAGTCAAATGAATACCAAAAGATCGAAAATTTCAACATTTTTCAAGTGATCCCCAATACCAATCAAACACAATTAATTACAATTCCCAGTAAAACAAATTCTAGGCAATTCAACTCCATGTAATTCATTTTCTTTCTATCCAAATTTCACATTTGCAATCAAACGCACCCTAAGCATAATTCATTCAAGAATTTGAGGCCTCGAAAGAGGTTTCTATTAGAATAATATTATTTAATACACGTGATGTTATAAACTCGATTTAGGTGGTACTAATTGACATACTCAATTAAAATGTAAAAAACTGAAACTTGTTTAATTAGGCCTATCATTTAGAGTCACTGAAACTGATATTTTAACATCATTAATACTAATAGCATTGATGTTAATATGAAACGACTTTTTGCGTGCATAAATTATTTACAACGTACTAAATGGTCAAAGTCACAAGGTGTGAACGTTGACGTTACACTACTCTAATTAGGTCAAAAGTTAGAAATTTAATAACATTTTCGTCATATTAAATAATCATTACACATCAAATAATTTTCTACACAAAGGCCCATCGATGACTACTACTTCAAACTCTTGCTAACAAGGTGGAAATGATCAATTCTATTTGAGGAACAAGTCAATTTCACATGTGAAGAGTCTAGGTTTCAGTAAAAATACCACCTTGGTATGCATGGATGAAAGTTGGGGTGCTAAATTTGTGTTATGTCCTTTGATTCATGAACATAATTAAGTAGCAAATTGAAACGAAGTTATTTGTATGCGTTCAAAACTACAAAGAGATAAATTACTTTATTTAAACAATAGGGGCTAATAATGTTGCATTCCCACCCCAACCCCGACCCCAACCCCAACCCCCAAAAAAATTATTTTTATTAAAAAACTGTGGAGCATATTCACGTCACCCAACATTAGCAAAATTGAGGTTAAGAGCATCTTTAACGGACGGTGGATTGTATCAAAAATATATGTCCACCAATAATGAATAATATTTTACTAAATAATGATTCAAGTCATATATTAAGCTGTGATGTAATCATGATGGCATAGTGATGTGCAATGCCAATTTAAATATGTAAAACTAATATTTGTTCTCGTCAATTTAGAGGGTCCATTTGAGTCGTCTTTTCTCATTGCAGTCTTTTTTCATTTGTTAATTCTAGACGAAGAGTTAATATGTTCAAATCAATTTTACTCAACGAACATAATTATACTTATTTAATTCAATCAAGAATATCATGCCATTAATTTATTAATTATCGTGCTCATAATAAACGTTGAACTGTCAAGTGCAAAACGAACAACTGCAGAAAGCGTAAGCTCACTCGAACATGAGAGTATCATCTTATTTTAAAAATTCGAGTAGCACAACCAAAGCAGCAATGGGTTCCTTGCCCTACAAGAAGTAGTATATCCCCTAAAGTCACAATAAATTATGGTTTAATAAGATAACATATAGGATATAAATATACATACAAAACTATATGGACGGTATGCTTTGAGGAATCTGTCTCGTCGGAATAGGACAAAATGGTAGTCAGCGTGTTAATAGTTTTCGGTGATATCCTAACGACTTATTTAAAATTGTTGTCGGCTATCAAAAAATTTAAAATTAATTTCTAAATTTAATAATTGAAAGCTTGGCATGATTTTTTATTATTTTTCTCCGTAATTATCTTTTGTACGAATGTGGACAAACATTTACCACCTACTTTTGCTGAAAAATATTGACAAAGCAAACCAAAAAGTTTGGACTCATCCTTCTTAATTTCAATTACGAGGAAATAGGAGGAAATGACCTTTCTATTGTGGTCTAATTTCAAAATGACTTTTGACTAAAAAATGGAATTAAAAAAAAAAAAGGGTTAAAATATAGGTTAACCTTTAAAAAGTCAAAAATACCCTC